ATGTTAATCCTTAATTTACAAATAATTGCAGAATAAACGACCGTGTCAAGTGTAGCCACTTAATGCGTTACTGTGGTGGAACTGTCAAAAGGAATGCGGCGACTATTATTACGCAACTACTGTGATTATTAAATTACAGCTCTGTCAACCTCCTACAGCTGGGCCTGGCTGTGTAGCCTTGCCAGACCGGAGCTGGGTCCAATGCTGGCAGCTGTTGGAGCTGCTTAGTGGACTCTCGGTCATTTAATGGATGTATTTCTCATTCCTTTCCTCACACCCCTGGCCTCCGTCTCCTCCTTCTGCCAGCACGACTCAGCTTTGGGGACAGCGTCAGGGTCACCCCGACCACGAGGTCAAAAAATATTCGTCTTCTGCCGACCAATTAACTAAAGGCCACGTCATTTTCATTGTGTGTGTGACGATGCGAATCGCAGCTGCTCCTGGGTGTTAAAAAAAAAACACTCCAGGGAGTGGCCCAGTGTTTTACTGGACATCTGTGGAAAAATAGTTTTCTAGCTCATCGGATTCCCCCAGTATAATTACATATTTTGTTTCGGGTAAAATGTGCATGTTGATGATGGGCTCACGTGCACGACACAGCCTGCAGTCTGGTGCATGGAACAGGCGAGCGTGCACTGGTGCAGTCAAGAGGAGGGCACGGGAAGCGTGATCAATCTCTTGGCAAACAGCACCAGACTCGTTGGCAGTCGAATGTAACTCTGTCGACAGACTCAATGACAGAAAACGGTGCTTTGCAGATATATTGGTGGCACAGACTCGTCACTACCCAGCAGCACCGGAGCTCAATTCGCTCCAGCTTGCGCCGGGCGTATTGTGTCTGCCTACCCACGGCAACGCAGACACCAACATCACAACCGTCAAAACACATAGGTTAAAACCGCAATTCCCGTTTACAATTGAAATGTCAATTTTAGTAAATTTTATTTTATCGATGGAGGTATAAATTCACTTGAACTTAATCGGTATCGTTCCTGCACAAAGTATTATCCAGGCTGCAACCTTCACTGCCGCCAAATTAAAAGACACCTCTCCAACGAGACAATCAGCATCGATGCAGGCAGTCTCTTCTGTGGTGGAGGAGGTTTTTTTTCCTTCTTCCACCGGAGAACATTTGGATGGGGTTTTTTTTTATATTTCTGGGGTGAAAAATAAATGAGTGAGATCTATAGCAGCAGCAGCAGTAGTAGCAGCAGCACACGGCGTGCCGCGCGTGTGCTGATCGCCGTACAGTGCTCTGCGCTCATCACGCCGCCCGTGCTCCCAGTCAGCTGTTGTGGTCTTCGGCTCACGAAAGACGCCGCCGTCTCGAGGGAGCGACGCAAGGCGCTGGACGAGTCCTGCCTGAGACCCCCCCCCGCCGCCACGCCACCATCACCAGCGCGCTCATTTATTCTCCTAGCGGCGTTTCGCTGGCAAAGTGAGAAAGAACCTTTAAGGCGTCTCAGCTCGTCGCTTAATTTATTCGTGTATTTATTTATACTATCCGTGTGTTGATGTATCGAGGTTTGCCTTTCAGACGCAAGTCCTGGCTTTCGCGAATATCGCGAATCCACTTATCCGCAGGAGATGTTTTTGTTGTTGTTGTTGCAGATAAACGACCGTAAACAGGGAAGATTGGGCCGCGCATCGTATGAATGTTCACAGATCGCGCACCTCCGATATAAGCACGGTTGGCTACGTACGGTGCGAAAGAAGTTCAACGTGTATATACACACATACATACATTCTACAGATCCCGCAGATAATAGGGTTGTAGATAAGTGGAGTTCTGTAATTTCTTTGAAGAAAATAAAAACCCGGTGCCTTTGGGACCCTGTACGAAGTTTCAATCTGGGCAATCGCTGTTTATCCAGGAGGATGCTGCCCGCGTCAAGTCAAACGCGACTGCCAATTCAGATTGGGGGGCCAACGAAAGCCACGTGAATGGCATCACATGAGAGCAGGATGTTAAGGCAGGCCGAAGCCGCTGGCCGCGTGGGTGGGTGTATGGGTGGGTGTGTGGGTGGGTATGGGTGTGTGTGGGTGTATGGGTATGTGGGTGGGTGTGTGGGTGTGTGTGTGCCCCGTGACCTCCTGCCAGCGGGCGTTCGACACTTCACGTGGCCTCAAGGTGCACATGGCCTGGCACAAGCGTCGTGGTGACGTCACCGCCACTTAGTGGCGAATGGCGGTTGTTGTGTGTATGTGTGTATGAGTGTGTGTCTGTGGGTGTGGGTGGGTGTGTGTATGAGTGTGTCTGTGTGTGTGGGTAGCGGTAGTGTAGCGGTTAGCGCTGCGCTGCGCTACAAACCTGGCGACCCCGGGTTCGATTCCCGCTCACGGCCATCATCGGTGACGATTATCTAAACCGGTCCTGGGCCTCCCCTAGGTCGACTCAGCCTCAAATGAGTACCTGGTGCGGTGTGTAGTAAACATCGCCACTGGGGAGACAAAGGCGGCCGGGCGTGGTTGTTGGCCACCCACCCCCTCGTGTGCCGTGCCGGCCTTCATAGGTGCTGCTCGCTAGCAGCACTTGCCCCTACAGTCTGTTAAGGCTGTACGGGGGATCTTTGTCTTTGTGTGTGTGCGTCTGTGTGTGGATGTCGGAGCAGCTCCTGAACGCTGACAGGCGTCGCACCTCGCGATTGTCGTGAATCGGCCGTCAGGACGCCACAGCGAGCAAACAGAATCTATTCGCCGGGACATTCGCTAATAAACGCGCGCGCGTGCTAATAAGGGTCTCGTGATTTGCCTTTGCTAATTTCGTCGAGTTTGCTGGGGACGCTTACTGAGATACGCAACAATACCGCTTACATTGATTGTGAAGCGCTGTGGATGGATGCGCGTGATTAGCGAGAGTGACGGAACGCCGCTCGCTGTCACTCCCTGTCGCAATGTCTCGTGTTGCGGCGGGCGAGTCCTCCTGTAAAGCCGCTCGCTGTTTGTATACCTACTGTTAACTTTTTTCGTGTAAATGCCTGCAGTTGAACGTAGGCACGATTTATGCTGTCGGGCTTAACTGGAACTTGCATCGACCACGCAGCACGCGTAGAGAGAGATGGTGGGTGGTGGTGGTTTTGGTGAGTGGTGGTTTTGGTGAGTGGTGGTGTTGGTGTGTGGTGGGTGGTGGTGGTATTGGTGGGTGGTGGTGGGTGGTGGTGGGTGGGTGTGGTGGGTGGTGGTGGGGGGTAGTGGTGGTGTGTGGTGGGTCGTGGTGGGTGGGTGGTGGTCGGTGGTGGGTGGTGGTGGTGGGTAGTGGTATTGGTGGGTGGTGGTCGGTGGTATTGGTGGGTGGTGGTGAGTGGTGATGGGTGGTGGTGTGTGGTGGTGGGTGGTGGTGAGTGGTGTTGGTGGATGGTGGTGGGTGGTGGGTGGGTGGTGGTGAGTGGTGGTGGGTGGTGTTGGTGGTATTGGTGGGTGGTGGTGGGTGCTGGGTGGTGGTGGGGGGTGGGTGGTGGTGGGTGGTGGTGGGTGGGTGGTGGGCGGTGGTGGGCGGTGGTGGTGGGTGGTCGTGGTGGGTGTGTGCTGGGTGGTAGTGGGTGGTGGGTGGTTTTGGTGAGTGGTGGTTTTGGTGAGTGGTGGTGGTGGATGGTGGTTGGTGGTGGTCGGTGGTGAGTGGTGGTGAGTGGTGTGTGGTGGTGGGTGGTGGTATTGGTGGGTGGTGGTGGGTGGGTGGTGGTCGGTGGTGGTGGGTGGTGGTGTGTGGTGGTATTGGTGGGTGGGTGTGGTGGGTGGTGGTGGTGTGTGGTGGGTCGTGGTGGGTGGTCAGTGGGCGGTGGTGGGTGGTGGTGGGTGGTGGTGGTATTGGTGGGTGCTGGGTGGTGGTATTGGTGGGTGGTGGTGGTATTGGTGGGTGCTGGGTGGTGGGTGGTCGTGGTGGGTGGTGGTGGGTGGTGGTGTGTGGTGGTGGTATTGGTGGGTGGTGGTGGGTCGTGGTGGGTGGTTAGTGGGCGGTGGTGGGTGGTGGTGGGTAGTGGTGGTGGTATTGGTGGGTGGTGGTGGGTGGTGGTCGGTGGTGGTGGTATTGGTGGGTGGTGGGTGCTGGGTGGGTGGTCGTGGTGGGTGTGTGCTGGGTGGTAGTGGGTGGTGGGTGGTTTTGGTGAGTGGTGGTTTTGGTGAGTGGTGGTGGTGGATGGTGGTTGGTGGTGGTCGGTGGTGAGTGGTGGTGAGTGGTGTGTGGTGGTGGGTGGTGGTATTGGTGGGTGGTGGTGGGTGGGTGGTGGTCGGTGGTGGTGGGTGGTGGTGTGTGGTGGTATTGGTGGGTGGGTGTGGTGGGTGGTGGTGGTGTGTGGTGGGTCGTGGTGGGTGGTCAGTGGGCGGTGGTGGGTGGTGGTGGGTAGTGGTGGTGGTATTGGTGGGTGGTGGTCGGTGGTGGTGGTATTGGTGGGTGGTGGTGGTATTGGTGGGTGCTGGGTGGTGGGTGGTCGTGGTGGGTGGTGGTGGGTGGTGGTGTGTGGTGGTGGTATTGGTGGGTGGGTGGTGGTGGGTCGTGGTGGGTGGTTAGTGGGCGGTGGTGGGTGGTGGTGGGTAGTGGTGGTGGTATTGGTGGGTGGTGGTGGGTGGTGGTCGGTGGTGGTGGTATTGGTGGGTGGTGGGTGCTGGGTGGGTGGTCGTGGTGGGTGTGTGCTGGGTGGTGGTGGTGGTGGGTGGGCTGCTACAGACACGACCAACCAGCAGCCATCCTCCGTGGACACGAGCGCGCGAGTGCCGCCAGGCCCTGGCTGGTAGTAAACTACCCTTGAGTTAAACCTCACTCAGCAGTGGCGCCTTCAGCAGGAATGTCTCCCCTACCTCCCCACCGATACCCGCAGCCTCAGCAGCCTTGCCCCCCACCCTCCACACACTCACCCATCCACCAACCACCACGGCCTGGGTGGGTGGATGCGCTGTGGCTGGGTGGTGGTGGTGGTGACGCCACGGCCACGCCGGTCTAATGAAGCCCCCCCCCACTCCTCCCCTCTGCCCTATCCGAGGAGGCGGCTTAGCGGGCTGGTGGTGGGAGGGTGCCGGACGGCCTCCGCGATGCTAATGCACCGGTAGAGGAGGCCGCGCATTGGCCGGGGCTTGCGCGGCGTGCGAAGGGGGCTGGTTCCATGCCTCCTCTGGGGGCGGCTTTTGTCTGTCCCGAGCAGCAGCGGCGGCGGCGGCGGCGGCAGCGGCTGGCGGCTGTCGGCGTCTCTCTGTGCTGCTGGCGGCAGAGCGGGAGGCATCGCCGCACCCGCCACGCTCGGCTCACCCGCACAGGTACCCCCCCCCCCCCTGCATCCACCCGCCACCCACCTCGACGGGGGTCCCCCCCCCCCACAACCCTCGTTCCTTCCCCGCAGGAACGCGCCGAGGCAGGGCTAGGGTTCGGCCTTCGCTTGCCTCGTCCGGCACACTCCGTCATGCGCGGCGGTGTCGGGGAGGGCTTTGTCTTGCGCTTTAAATGCCCCCCTTTGTTTCCTCCATGCCGCTCCGTTTCTCTACCCCCCCCCCCCACTGCAAAACAGTCACAGGAGGAGGAGGAGGAGGGAATGAGCGGTCGCAGCTGGGCACAATTGTTGTGTTTTGCGTCGTTCCGAAAGATGTTGCCCCTGTGACAGGATAAGAAACGTTTAACAATTCTCCCCGGCTGACTTAGTGTACGCTGCATGAACACACGTTGTTCCAATTGGCACTTTATGCCCCGGCAAGCAGAGTGGTTTCCATGCCATGTATGGACATCCTGCCACCGGTGTGGGGTTTAAACAAATTTTTTTGGGGTGCCCTGATGTTTTGCGACATTTAGCGCAGTGATCTCAGAGTGCCCGACTTCCCGGTAACATTTAAATGCCGAGCCACAAATCTTTCGGATGAGTCATGTGATCCCGTGTGCAGTGAGTACGTCGAGGCGCATCCAGCATCAGCAGCGGTTGAACAGCTGACGGCTACAGCTCGTGTGCCCAACTCTGTGCCGCCTTTCGAGAGCCGTGCGATGCCGTGGCACGCCTGCGATGGATCGTGCCCCACACGGGCACCACTCTTTGGCCGGCGTGCGCGATCCTGTGCAGGAAGGTGGCCATGGATTATTGATGACCGCTTCTCATCTCCAGGCGGGTCTGCTCTCTGCTCTCCCTCTCTCTCTCTCCGGCCTCTTTGACGATTCGCGCAGGAGGGGAGGAGGCCAACGACCCTCGCGATCAAGGACACTGCGCGCCCATTCCCTCGACAGTGGCTCGGTTCCTGACGGCAGCCTCATAAATAAAGGCATCTCTTAAAAAAACAAAACGAATTGACGAGTGTCTTCGGGCACGGGTGGTGTAATTGTAATCAGTCCCAAAGCCTAAATGTTCGGAGCTTAATTTTAATCATTAAAAAAAGTGCGTTTCCACTTAAAATTGTGGGAAATTTCCATCGTGTTTTTTTAATGAGAATGGGTGGCTGTGAACCAGTGGCCATCAACAAAAGCAGACCTGTCCAGCGGTGAAGTGAGAATGGCCGGTAATGAGTACAGTTTTCGCCGCTGCAAAAGACGGCAGATTGGCAGAGGTCATTTCTGGGAACATTCCTGGAGGGGTGAGCCTCCCTCTCCCAAGGGCCATTTAGCCCGCAGTGTAAACACCGCTCGGATGGGTGGGATTAAGTGGAGGCACCCTTACTTTACTCGCCACGAGAAATCCATCCGCCACCTTAATGTGTACATGGCAAGAGGCTGCGCCTAATGATGGCATACGTCGAGAGGGAAAGTGCTTAAGATGGTGAAATCTAATGGCGTTATTGTGGACAATGTAGCACCAACCTATGTCAGAGGAAATGGCACAGGGTTAAGGATCACACGAGGTTATTGTGCAAAGTCTGAATAATTCTCACGTGTTAAACATTTCTGATCGTTCGAGTTATGCGTTGCATAACGTGAAGAGTTCTTCCCATCTAGACTTGTCTGCTGTAGAGGCAAGTGCTGTTAGCAAGCACACTTTAAGGCGAGCGTGGCACAAGACGCGGTAGTGAGACCATTATACCGTGGCTTGCAACGCTCTCGTCTCCCCGGTGCTGCTGTTCGCGCATCACACCGGCTGTTCACTTAAACGGATTATTTGGTGATGCCGCATTGGCAGTGGTGCACAAGCACAAACTAATTTAAGTCGACCTATTCGAGACCCAGAACGTGTTCAGATGGCATTTGTCACCGAGGCGCAATGGCCAAGAATCTAACCCAGGTGTTCGACATTACAACGTGGCGTGTGTTCGAACCGCCACTGCTCACTGCACATTTGTGCAAAACAAAGATCTGCTTTATATCCGCAGCGGCCCATTGGGGGCAGGCAGGTGCTGTTGGCAAGCGCGGGACGCAGGGAGACGCCGCCGGTATGGCCAGCGGCGTGTCTCCCAGTGCTGCTATTTGCTCGTCGTGGGCGAGCACCGGCTCGGATTCCACCCGCCGCTGCTGTTGTCCGCGGGCGACGATTTGCACGCAGGTCGCCGGGTTCGCGGCACAGTGCGGTGCCCACTCTGCCATCGTTTACCCAGCACGGCCTTATTTTTTTTGTATTTTGAGACCACGCAATCGTACAAGAACGCATAAACACACAAGCCCCGAAGGCAGCGGGGGGCCATGGCCTGGCAACACACGTGTGTGTGTGCGCGCGTGCGTGCGTGCGTGTGTGCGTTGCAGCGCGTGTACAGTGCGTTTTTGAATGAGTTTATTCTTAGCACAGGAAGACGTTGCGGTGGCAGTGAGAGGGAGGTTCGCCAGTCTGGGGCCCGGCCTGCGTGGGAGCCTCGGCTTGCGGGCCGATGGGGGGGGGGTCACCCGCAGGGGTGGCGAGACAGCACCCACGGAACTGGTTTTGGGTTTTCCTTCCCCACTCTTGTGTCGTCGAGGGTGGCCTCTTTGAACACGGGGAGATTTCGTTTTTTTTTCTCTCGACGTGGGGTGCAGCTGTAGCACATCGGTCACCCGAGGTTCAATTCCTAATCACGGCTAGCATCAGAGGGTGGCTACTGATGTCTGAACCAGTCTGGGGTTGACCCCTCCACCATCCCCACCCCCACCTTCACCAAACAGCGCTAACCAGTGTCGTGAATTATGGTCAGGCAACCCCCGTGACAGGGCACAGAGACACATTTATCCAGCAGTGGATTGATGGAAGGCTGTAAATATCTTTCATGGTTTTTTTACTCTGTCCACAGAGGCCAGAAAGACACCGAGTCCCGTTCCCAGTGCTGTCAGCGCGCACGGCACTCTGCGGCTTGCCCGAGTTGTGTTCGCGCGGACAATAATTCACTGTTCTGGCTGACGGGCGGTCCTCCAGGGGGGCACAGAACGCCTTTGATTTCAGATCAGAACTTTGACTCCATTCTTCCACGTAAGACTAAACATTTATTTCTTTAAAAAAAAGTGTTTTCAACCTCACGTGTAGCTGCTGATACAACTGCGGCTTATCTTAGGGACATTTAGCGCTGTACATTTCTTCTCCGTCGCAGCCAAAGCGTAGGCCGTGCTCGTCGGCGCGGCGATCGCGTGGCGCAAGCGGTGCAACTGCACGGGTCGGAAGGAAGCCAATACACCAGGCAACGCACAGAGAGCAGGGTGGCAGGGTGGACAAGCGGGCGCGCCGTTTGATCGCTTGCACCAGAATGCGTGCCAAGCGACGCTACGCCGCTGCGTCTGAACCGAGCCGCCGGAATGACGCGAATCGGCAAAATTTGAGTCGCGATGCCACTGACGGCACTGACAGTGCCGAGCGTTGCTCAGGCTACCGTGGTGCTCACTTAGAGGCGTGCTGCTTTCACTTGCTCTCTCAAGAGGTGGGGGGGGGGGGGCGTCATATTGCAATTGCAAACTATGATATGCGGTTGTGTTGAAGCGCTTATGATCCGATTCGTATCATCTGCATCTGCAGCCCCATTTCTGCAATTTGATGTGGGGGGTTGGGGTGGCAAATGGCCAGATTAGCGAAAAACTGCAGGAAATTGTTCACATGTCAGTGGAAATGGCCTTTCCGCTGACTCAAGATTTAGGCCCCTTATCTGCATCACCAGGACTCTGCTCTGTGTGTAAGCGGTGGGAACAGATAAGCGGACAGGATGATGCACGCGCGCACACAGTCTGCCTCCCCATCACCTGCAGTGGACGACACTGAGGTTCTGGCCTTGAGTCCTCTCCTGGCTGCTGCTGCTGCTGCTGCTCGCACCGCCCAGCGGCTCTCATTCATCTCACTGGACTCGGGGCCGCATCTAACTAATTTTACAGGGCCCCGCGCATCTCAAAGAGCTCCCCCGCGGAGTTGCATTTAGTGCACACTGCACAACGCGACGCTACGCTCACTGTATATTATTTGACAGAAAAATGCTCTGTCTCGTCGCTTCCTCCTGACGCACGTCTCTGCTGTACGGCGTCCCCTAACGCGGCATCGTTCGGGCGCTATATAAAAAAAAATTGCAATTTTCGCTAAATGAGAATCCTATGAGACTCAGCATTTCTCTCGGGAATGAGACCTGAGCCTGAAAACAAAGGAATTGATTATTTCATTAAAAAAAAAATTGGCCAAAGGGAAACTGTTTTTAATTGTGTGATAATGTATCTGGAAGCCTGCATGGAATGGATAATTATTTATGGGCACAGAATCGCGCTCACATTGGAGCGTATTGGCTGCAAAAGTGGTGATGGCCTAATTAACAGAGCTGCAGAATTGGGCGGCACGAGACGGCGCATCTGGGAACGTTTCCCTCGCAAGAGCGATGGGCGCTCCCTGCTTCACAGGGAAGGGTTTCAAAGAGTGTGGCACGGGGCGGGGATATACCCAACGTCGCAAACTTCTCAAGTAAATCTCGTGCCAGGATCAGCGATACATTCGGAGGAGGCTGAGCCTTGGATGAAAATATATTTCCGATCAAGCAAGACTTTTAAATGTGTGATTAATAATAATTAATATCTTTGGGCCAATAAAATGGAGCAGAAAATTGTGATAATAGATGCAAAGGCTGCCCAGGCAAGTGGCATCGGTGTGGAGTCGCTACATCTGTAAATTATATATAATCGGTGAGATATTAGGTGGAGGGAGGAAGCCAATGGATCCCGAGCGCAGAAGAACCTCAGACAAGCGGTTAACATACCCACTAATTGTATTCTCTGCGTGTATATGAAACGCCACTTATCCACGTGTACACACACACTGTACTAAGACACGCCCGATATGGCTTCAGCATAAGGATCGGTGGCTATTCGTTTGTGATTAATTTTCTGCTGCAACGTCGGTGCAGTCGGTCCCACTCCATGGCAACGGGAACATCTTCACGGTCACCGCTGCACTCTGCGTGACGAGGCAGTCCCGGGGTCTCGTCGCGGCAATTCTCAGCGCTGCTCCTTCCTTCACTCCTCATCGCCGCCGCTAATCACTTCTCGGTGCCGCTAATCATCGCGCCTTCAGGCCGCTCGCAGGTCTCTCTCGATGCTCAACGCGCCACGGAGGCTATTCGGCGGCCACGTGTCCCCAGTAGGGCACGACGGGGATGTGTTTTGGGTTCACGATGCAGGCAACCATCGTGGCTTGTGTTAAAAAGGATAATCGTTTGGAGTTTTACATCTCTGCTCTCTGTGCGACCCGTGGCCTTTGTCAAACATGTCGGCGATCGTGGCATTCCTTCCATTAACGCTCTCTCTCTCGTTGATATTTACCCAAGAGCTTTGCATTAGATACCGCCAGTTGCATCAATTGTCAAATTGTTTATGTCTTTCATTTACTGTCATGCCCGGCTCCTTGTTCGTCATATTTTCGTGTATATTTTTGTTAATTGTTCCGTACTTCAGAAATCCACGTCCTGGGCTGGATTACTCACGACGCCTGTTATTCGCGGAACCAATTTGGTGGCTGATCCTTGAATCTGCAATCTTCTCCTTCCCATTATCCGTGATCATCCATGAGTTGACCTGCTGCTCATTGCTGAATGGTGACCTATTATATCTGCAACATTATTTGCGGATAAATGGAGATGATCAGCAGAGACGTCCTTATCTGTGGTTTTCCACAGTGTTTTCTCATGGATACGGTCGCGGATAACCTCACGGATAAACCGGATTAACGGAGGTTTACCCACCGACAACAAAACGGATAAATGCAGTTCTGTATATAGATGCACATTTAAAGCTTGCTTTTTTTTTCTCCGTATTAGCTTCCGCAGTCCAAATATCTGCACAAGTTTAATCCGCAATTTCTGCCTTAAACATTTGTCACACTTTTTCTCTCCACATTGTATTTACTTGCAAACAGGTGTCGGCGGGCTCCCATCTGGTCGAATCAAGTGAACTGTGACTCACTGCTGTTAATCCTGAACACATTTAAGCCTGGGTACTCAGTTGGTCAACAGTTCTCTTTGACAGATGCCCGGTGCAAAGCAGAACAACTCTTGGCCCTGGATGCGATTGAGGTTGGCACAAGGAAGGAGGTAGCAGAGGAGTTTGGGGGGGGGTCAGGTTTTTTTGTGCGTGTCCTGGGAGAGTTGGCGCAGGAGGCGCGTGTTGTTGTTACCCGTGTGCCTGAATGGTTTCAATCGGAATGTTTCCTCTGGGACTTTTTAATTCACAACAACAAAAAAACTCCCACAGGAAACACGGGGACGAGTGTTGAGTGCGTGGACTGGGCCTTCCGCGAGCCGCGCCGCGTCCGTGGAACCGATTTGCGCCGATCAAGGCCATTGGCGCGTTGCGGGTTTGGGAAATGCGGCACGCCAGAGTCGCCCGCACAGAACGAGCGCCGCCTCTGTTTTAGAGATGCGGGCGGGGGGGGGGGGCAAGGTTTCCCAACGGCAAAACTAGCTGCAGACGCTACGATAAGCGAAGGGGTAGCGTAGTGAAGCGTCTGAGTTTTGCACTCTTGTTGTTTATTGCTTGTCTTTGTTGTTTATTGTTGTTGTGTGGAACCCCCACACCATTGTGTGGACGCAGAGTCGGTGTCTCGTTGATCTCTTGATGGTGTGGGGTTGCTACCTGTCCAGGCTTCACCCACAGTCGGGGGAGTTGGCATGTGTTGTTTTCGTGGCACGAATTTATTTCTACTGAGATTTGGTGGCATTGGGTGTCGCGTTCCTGATAGCTCTAGGCTCCTCGAGAAATATATCCACGATTGGTCGGCGCAAAAGGTGGCAACCCTTGCAATGGTCTTCACGCTGCATAACCACAAGCAATCGCGTGGCTAAAGAACCTAGATTTCGATGCGGTGGTATTCTATCCATAGACAAACTTGCCCTTGCCAATATGAAAGCGGAATTTTCACTGTGGCCACGTGCTGTAAACAGGAGATGAACACCGCCTGCACGCTTGCTTGAGCAGGAAATCACGTTTTGGCTTTCATTCAAGCTCGGCCACACACACCACAATTGGCGGTGTCTGGCTCGCGAGTCGGTCCATGTTCGGCGACACGGCGGCACCGGTGGGACCCCTTGTACCTTTCCCACTGAGATTTCCGGTCAGTTCGACACGAAATTGAGACAAAATAACATTCATAATCGTTTCCTCCCCCCCCCCCCCCCCCGCCCCCCCCCCCCCCCGCAGTGTAAGCTCAATGAGAGAGGCCTCCGATCCAGTCAGGGGGATTGAACGCAGCCGTTATCCTGCGGCGGCGGTAGCGGCGTCTGCTCCTGATGGCAACCAGGGCTCAACGCGAGCCTGCAACGGGGCGCATGGCCGCTATGGCAGACTGCACGCTGAGACAGCGTGCAGTCTGCCCCGCAGGCCACGGGGGATGTTCGTGTGACCCGCTCCCTGCCTCCCTCCCTGCCTCCCTCCCTGCCTCCCTCCCTGCCTCCCTCCCTGCCTCCCTCCCTGCCTCCCTCCCTGCCTTCCTCCGCCACCTGCTGTGCCTGCACCTGCCCCCAAAGCAGCCTGGCTGCGTGCAACCCCTCCCATTGTGCAGCCTGCCTGCTCGTACGCAGGGCTCCTGCCGAATGGTGGATTCAATATTCAAATGAGCAACTCGAATTCCACACCTTGTTCAGCACTGTTGGTGGTCCTCGACTCGGGGTGGAAATTCCTCCTTCCTTTTAGAGCCGTGATCCAGACTCGACTGGTGACTTCTCAAAAATAGTCGTCGGTATTCCCCTCTTGTCAGTCTGAGGCCTCTCAATGCCGTGTCGATCGTGGGGGGGGGGGGGGGAGGGGGTGGGTCTGTTTGACCGTACTTCACCCCCGCGGGTGAGTGCGAGATTTCGTGGCGATCGCGCGGAATCATTGTGGTTGTCACTGCTGACGTTAGCCGCCGTGGCTGAGAATCGTACCCGGTGGCGAGCACGTCTCGGAAAGATTCAAGCCAAAAGTATCTCAAACGAGTACGGGGGACATGGTTTATTTCCGTCGGCGATTCTGAGCCGGCGGTGTAAATTCCACATTGCTATGACGGGAGTCCCTATACAGCACATGACGGTGCACGCGTAATGCCGCGGATAGGGTGGCCAGGGCGGCTGTTAACGGCGGGCGCTCGCTGTGCGATATCCCGGCAGTGAGCGGCGGCTTCTGCGGCCGGCGGCCCACGCGGAGCCACGATGAGTGAGGTGCTCAAGAGGAAGTTCGAGGAGGTGGAGGGCGACTCCCCGTGCTCCTCCTCCAAGGACTCGGAGGAGGAGCTCTCGGGCAGCGAGAGCGCCGACAGCGGAGACAGCGTCAACCCTCCGGCAGACACGCACTTCACACGTGAGGCCCCTGCACGCACCGCTCCCCACCCCGCCGCTTCGCTCCCAAACTCCCGCTGATCCCCGTTATCCGCTTGATGATCCCGCTCCTGGTGGTGGGCCAGCGGCCAGCTCATTCGCCGCTCGCAATCCCAGGGACCCGCGATCGTCGTCATCGTCACGGCAGTCGTTTGTTATTCGCGTAGCATTCGGATGAGACAAGTCTCTTAAGCGCAACGTTATTCGTCGTTATGGGAACGTGACTCGTTTACCATTTTATTGATGAGCCTGTGACTACCGTCACCTGGAGTGCGCCCAATCTCATCGGATCTCGGAAGCCTTAGCAGGGATTGTGCTTGGGTGGGTGATGGCCACCATGCGCACGAGCTTGCCGTGGGGCTGAGCTATGTGACGGTCGGCAGAGGGCAGCGGAGTCTACGTCTGTGCTCTCACACCCCCCACCTTCACTCCTCGGTGACCGGCGTGGTGAAGTATGGTCAAATAATCTCGACGACTTGCACGGCCCGTAGGGACGCGCTCATCCACGAGCAGGTGGCCAAGAGTGCCAGACGTGCGCGTAGATTCTTATTCACGATTCGCGTAATCCGCTCCCAAACTCCGTGCACCATCGGTCGCAAGCTGCGTTTTCAAAAAGTCACTGACGTGCGTTGTTGGGTAAGCGGGCAATCGACGGTGATGACTCACGGCCGTGGCGATAACGATGAATTTGTTCTTAATGCACCAACGACGTTTTTGCTGCAAGGACTTCCTGGCGAGGTGCTGTGGAGCGCTGCCAACCGCACTCGGGCGGAGAGAATCGTTTCCCGTTTTTGTAAACGCCCCCTCCGTTCGGAAGTGAGTAGCCAAGCGGCGCCTTCTCTCTGCGCAATCGAACCTCGTAGGCACACCCTTTACCCAGAGCCAGGATTTTCAGGTAGGGGGGGCAACCCTTCCAGCAATGAAAAATGATAGAGGAGTTGTTAGTAAGGACTTGTCCCTTGCTTTTTATTCGACGCGTGTGCGGCGATGGCGCAGCCATCGATCGAGGGTCGAATTCGAACCGCGTTGTGTGATCGCCATCGCGCTCGCTGAAGGTGAATGTCTTCAGGGAAGTCGTGGACTGTGTACGCAACTGCGCACAATTCTGTGAGTCACTTATAACCGCTTTGCCGTTACTTATTGCCAATTATGGACTCAGAGCTATTGTCCTATCATCTCATAGAGTCCCTGGCACGTAATAATATGCTACACAGTTGTAGTGGGGGTGGCAAAATGCCGATTTATTACTAATAAACCCCAATGATCCGATCGAAATTATGGATTTCGATCGGATCATTGGGGGGGCACGTGCCACCCCTCCCCCCTACTGCCAGTGCCCTTTACAAAGCTTCACCCTCTCCACGATATCTCTCATCAATTCCAGTTCGGAGTAGGGTTGCCTGATCTAAGGCATATAAAAACCGGGACGTAGCCACGGTGAAGCAGACTACCTCGCAATCCTCGAAGATGGCAGCACTACGTGTCGAGTGGTGCGATGTTACACAACTGACAAAGCCAGGAGATTGAATTATTAACGCCCCCGGAAAGACATGTTTCTCAGGGCAGCCGTCTCAACAAAAGGATAGTCCTGGGAAAATCGAGGCGGGTGGTGATGCTCACCTCCGATTAGCACGGTTGGCATCGTACTGTGCGAAAGAAGTTCAACGTACATACGTACCCATACGCCACCCTAGTTCGAAGCCGGGGTCACCGGGAGGCTCCGTAGCGTAACGCTGGGTGACGCGCGGTGACGCGCGCGCGTTCGTGATGCCCGCGTTTCCTCCGCAGCCTCCTCCATCCTGCACCCGCCGAAGCGGCAGCGCGGCAAGAGCGTGCGCTTCGGCCAGGTGACGGTGTTCCACTTCGCACGGCGCCAGGGCTTCACGAGCGTGCCCAGCCAGGGCGGCAGCACGCTGGGCATGGCCAGCCGCCACGACCACATCGCTGTCTACTCGCTGGGCGAGTTTGCGCGCGAGCGCGAGAACGCGCACCAGCACGTGCTGCGCCAGCACCTCAAGGAGGAGAGGCTCAACGCCCTCCGCATGCAGGTACGCGTGTGCCTACGTACGTTGAGACTTCTTTTGCGCCGTACGTAGCCGACCGCACGGATCGGAGGTGCCGGGGAAAGGCAACGACTGAACGCACAAAAGCGGTTTTAAAGAAATGAATTTGTCCATGTGGACAAATTGTGCGCAACCCCAGTGGCTTCCTAATATCAGAAAGAGCATTCCAGACGGCCGCAGAAGCCGCGTCCGAAAGCGCCGCACGATTGCGGCGACCGTCGGGTGAGGCCCGGGTGGCGGGCGGCACGAGGGGGGGCAGGGCAAGGGGGCAGGGCAAGGGGGCAGGGCAGGGCGAAGCCTGTGGAGGAGCCTCAGTGGGGGTGGCGAGGTGGGGACGGCTGGCTCCGGGGCACGGGGGCTGAGTGGGCAGCTGCTGCTTTCGCTCGTCTCTTCGCAAAACGACCTCGCCCGTTCAGTGATCGGCACGAGAGATGCACAGGCACCGTTTTATTTTCTGTTTGTTTGCCCAGGAAAGCCTCGCTGAGTCTCGTGATTTTTGCTGGACGTCTGTGAAAAAGAGCTTCATAGCTCATCAGATTTCTCCAGGAAAAAGAAAGATTCCGATACTATTTATTTGTCAGGAGGGTCCTGCCGAGTTTAAAAAGCAAGGGGTGATGATTGCAACCGTATATTCGAATTGAGTAACGTGGTAATAAAAAAACATTTTAACCGTGGCTTTGGGCACGCAGTGGCCTGCTCTTGTGAATCCCGTCACAGGATCATTAACGTCCACAGCGAAGCAGACAGCGCGTAGCATTTATAAGACGAATGCGCATTGCGGTATTACCCAGGGCGGCCGCTGGAATTCGAATCGTCGCGCTTCGGCAAGGACGACGAGCGGCGTCGCCTCGAGGGTGGCTCTTCAATGCGCCCGGGCGCGGTGGAAATGTGGGTGTACGGTGTTACAGTGTACGTGCGTCAAACTTCTTTTGCGCCGTACGGGGCCGGCCGGAGGTGCGGGGCCGGCCGGAGGTGCGGGGGAGGGGGGGGGCAGGACGACGAACTAAACACACAGAGAAAAAAGAAATGAGGAAGTCGACACGAGCCGGTGGGGGTGCTGTGTGCCGCCACCTCCACTCCCGGATCGACGGGCAATGTGGATAAACCAGAAAACGAATCGACGTAACCACAGCGAGCGTTCGAATGAAGAGTTCGGCACGAGAGAGTGCTTCTTCGCATGGCAGAGAGAATGTCCAAACACCGCGTGTGTACGGTGGAGACAGTCACGTGGCAACAGCAGCTGGTGGCACGGAGGGGAAGGGCGGTGGGAGGAAGGGGGGAATCAGTCCGCAACTGCTCACCCATCCCCCCCTCCATCTCGGCCGAGTGTCACGACCTTCAACCCCAACCCGGCACCCCAAAGACAAAGGTCTCCCGTTGTCGCCTCGACAGACCGTTGGGTCGAGTGCTGTTAGCGAGCACCTGGGAAGGCCGGCAACGGCACGCGAGGGGGTGGTGGGTGGCCAGCACCACGCCCAGCCGCCTTTGTCTCCCCAGTGGCGATGTTTACACACCGCACCAGGTACTCATTTAATGCAGAGTCGACCTAGGGGAGGCCTAGGACCGTCACTGGTGTTGGTAGCGAGGAGTATGAATCAGAATCTGAATCTTAATTTCGACTGCAGGAGGAATCCGATGAGCCATGAAGCTCATTTTTACAGAGGCCCAGTATGGGCGGGTCAACAAAACCGAACTGGGGTCGCTGGGTTCGTAACGCAGCAGCAGCAGCAGCAGCGTGCTCACCGCTCCACTCCGGCACTGCCCACCACTACCCCCATCCCTACCACACCCCATCCCTACCCGCCACCCCTACCTCCTACCCCCACTCCTACCCCCCATCCCATCCTCCACCCCTACCCCCACCCCCACCCCCCACCCTCATTCTCCAACCCTAACTCCCATCCCTATCCCCCACCCCTACCTCCTACCCCCACCCCTACCCCCCACACCTACCCCTCACCCTCCACCCCTACCTCCCACCCCTAACCCCTACCCCCATCCCTAACCCCCATTCCTACCCCCCACCCCTACCACCCACCCACCACCTGCACCCCCACCCCTACCCCCCACCCGTACCCCCACCCCCACCCCCCACCCTTACCCCCCACCCCACACCCCCGTGGGAGCAGCTGACGCAGAACGGCACGCAGGACTGCGACCGTGCCCGTGCCCTCACGGTGGAGGACATCCCGGACGAGGAGGTGGACGTGCGGGCCGTGCAGGTGGATGACTACTTCTTCCTGCAGCCGCTGCCGACGCGCAAGCGGCGAGCCATGCTGCGCGCCTCCGGCGTGCGGCGCATCGACGGCGACGAGAAGCAGCAGCTGCGAGCGATCCGCGTGTCGCGCGAGGAGTGCGGCTGCGACTGCCGCGCGTACTGCGATCCCGAGACGTGTCCGTGCAGCCAGGCCGGCATCTCCTGCCAGGTGATGCCCGCGCCCCGATTAACCGCACCAACGCCGGCGCCGCGATTAAGCGCGCCGGCGCCGCGATGAAACTGTCCCCGTGCCGCGCTCATATTAATCGCAAGCGCTGCGATTTGCCGCGCGTGGACCGTGATGGGCCACGCTTGGACCGTGATGGGCCACGCGTGGACCGTGATGGGCCACGCGTGGACCGTGATGGGCCACGCGTGGACCGTGATGGGCCACGCGTGGACTGTGATGGGCCACGCGTGGACCGTGATGGGCCACGCGTGGACCGTGATGGGCCACGCGTGGACCGTGATGGACCACGCGTGGACCGTGATGGGCCACGCGTGGACCGTGATGGGCCACGCGTGGACCGTGATGGGCCACGCCTGCAGCACCGCCATGCTTTGACGTGCGGCCAAAATAGCCTCTAGGAGGCTCTTTTGGCTGGTTGTGGCGTGAGCGAGTGACAGCACGGCTGTGCTTTTACTAATACCTTTAACACCGCACTCTGACGCGCTACACCGCGAATCAACGCCAAACCAACGCCGCTCCCAGACAAACCGCGAAGGTGATGCGCACATGGGTGCATTGTAGGATCGGGTTGGCAGATCGCACTGATTGGAGAAACACTCAAACCATCACCCTGGCCTGCTGCTCTTGCACATGTAAGAACAGCAAGTGGGTTAATGAACCCGTCTGTGCAGACATTTGAGTTTATCCGCTGGCACGTTGTGGGTACTCTCCGAGCACTTCGCTTTTTTGTCCCACATACCAAACGCTGTTTAAAAATTAATTTTCCGAACATCCCAATGCAGAACTGGAGTGTCTTGAGACTCGGCGAGATATTTACCGGATGACTAAATGACTTTGCTATAAAACACACCAGCACCACCACGTCCACAAAAAACAACTGGCAAACGCGGCTTCCAGAGTGAGTGGCACCACTCCAGGCGCGCGCGGTGCACTGAGCTACGTCGTTGCCGGTCCCCGGCATCGGCTTGCCTCGCCGAGCCTCGCCGAGCCTCGCCGAGCCACTCCGAGCCACGCCGAGCCACTCCGAGCCACTCCGAGCCACTCCGAGCTCCAGACCCACAGCTGCGCTTGCAGTCTAAACTAATAAATGTTGCATTGTGACCAGGGAAGGCCCACTGAGCTATGTAGCTCTCTTTCAGGAGGCATCTGACCACAAGTGACAGCTCAACAATTTATTGTGGACAAACGCGTGGCGTTGATTCCAAATGTGGAGGGAAAAACCGGAGGACCCGGAGAAAAAAAACACGTGACCACGGGGAGAACGCGCAAACTCCAAATACACAGGCGTCGGGGTCAAACCCCATGACCCTGTGTACCAGGTGAGGTAGTTAACATCTCGCCACCGTGGCACCCCAATCGGGTGCAGCAGAGCCGTGTACGTGGCGCGTGGTACTGATCCCGACGAGGTCCCATCGGGACGGCGCGTGTGACGCACCGCACGTCACGTGGCAGCCCGTGCGAGCTGCGCGCGGCCAAGCTGACGTGCCGGTGCGGGTTTTGGTAACGCCGGCAAGCGGGGCGCACAGCCTTCCACGCTGCACGGCAAGTCCCTCGAGGTAGTTCCAAGGTGACCCGTCTCCGGCCATGAGAGGCCCGGTGACTACTGGACCCTCCCGGTGAAAAGCAAACCCCGAGGATAATAAACTGAATACAACCTCCCCCCCCCCCACCCCCCCATGTCCGCTTCCTGCTCCCCCCACCTCCCCACGCGCCCCCCACCACCAGTATCTTCACCTTGCCGCGTCCCTCTGCCAGGTGGACCGGCTGTCGTTCCCATGCGGTTGCACCAAGGACGGCTGCGGGAACCCTGGGGGGCGCATCGAGTTCAACCCGGTGCGCGTGCGCACGCACTTCATCCACACCATCATGCGCCTTGAGCTCGAGCGCAAGCAGGCGGGCTGCGATGACGCGGGGGGCCCGCTCGGGGGGCCCGGCGTCGAGGGGGGCCTGGTCGAGAGGGCCTGCGGCTCCTTGGCGCACTCGGAGCTCCCGCAAGACGTGCTCGGGTGAGCGGCGTTCACAAAGCTGCCGGCCGCTCGGTGGAGCCCGCGGGGCCTGGGTCTGTCCAGTGCGCACGTTAAACTTCTTTCGCACCGTACGCACGCGGCCAAACCGCGCGAATCGGAGGTGCGGGGGGGGGGGAAGGACGACAAACTAAACGCAAAAAGCGGTTCTAAAGAAATGAGTTTGTCAATCTGGATGATGTAAAAGTGCTTAGCTCCAGTGGCTTCCTAATATCGGAAGGAAGAGCGTTCCAGACGGCCGCAGAGGCACGTCCGAAAGCGCACGAGGCGGTGACCGTCTTTGTTCGATGATCTCCTCCTGCCAGCGCAGCTTCCACGCTTCACGTGAAATGCGTCGAAGTGCGCACCTAGCCTGGCGCAAGCGCTGTGGTGACTTCACCTCCGCTTTGCGGTGACTTCACCTCCGCTTTGCGGTGACTTCACCTCCGCTTTGTGGTGACTTCACCTCCGCTTTGTGGTGACTTCACCTCCGCTTTGTGGTGACTTCACCTCCGCTTTGTGGTGACTTCACCTCCGCTTTGCGGTGTTGTCGCAGTGTGGGGAGCGGTGGCGCCGCGCTACGAACTCGGCAGTCCGAGTTGCTATGCCTGCCCGAGGTCAGCTCAGCCTTAAATGAGTACCTGGTGCGATGTATATACCCTCTTGCCCCAGCAGTATGTGTACAGCTTTGTCTTAGTTCATTCACTGTTGACAGCCCTGAACCAGTGGTGGAAGTTGAACATTTTCAAAGTGGAGGGTAGTCTCTTCGTAGAATTAGCACCGTCGATGAACTACATATGGTACTCACTTTAATGATGGTGGAGGAGAGATTATCACAGCGCCTGCCAGATACGAACATCTCCGTGCCATTGTTTCCAAAGCAGTCGGGTTTTTTTTCGTGTGTTTACTGGAGTACGATGTTTGTCCGGGATGTGGTGAGCTGTGAGATCGCCATCGCGTCACGTCAAGCCTCTGCTCGCTGTCTTTTCCACCCCGTCCCAGCAGAATGTCGGGCAGAGATAACAGCCCCATGATGCAGCTATTTGCCAGCGACGTGATGAGCGGCGACGTGATGAGCGGGGAGGACGGAGACCCCGACAGCCCCAGCAGCGGGTTCGCCTCGACGCTCTGCTCGTCCGAAGATGGAGGAGACGGCACGACGGGCATCGAGTACCGGATACCGTCGGCGCTCCACCTGGGCAGGGTGGAGGGAGAACTCCACGCGAAGGGCGAGCGAGTTGGAGAGATGTCCTCCTACAGCCTCGACTCCTCGCTCTTCAGCTTCCCGTCGGACGACCTTCCGTCCATGTCCCTCTTCCCGAGCAACTCGTCCTCGGCCTCGTGCCTCTTCCACGGCGAGGATTATGGCCTGAGCTGCGTGCCGCTGCACGGGACCCACTCGCAGGACGCGCCCACCCTGCAGGAGATGTCCCCCGCCGTTGACTGCGCTCACGACTGCCCCGGGGCGTCTCCGGCGGCGCCGCCGTTCGCCGACTCCCTCCAGGACGCGCCGCCGGGCGTCGTGGCGCACGAGGAGACTCGCCCGGAGCTCGGCGCCGCGTGCCGGGACGGGCCCCCGCGGCCCGGCGCGTGCCGGGAGCAGGAGCCGCCTCCCGCTCGCGCTCGGCGGGAGGCGCCGACGCGCCCCCGGCACGGAGCCGTCGGCGCCCCGGCGCGCCGCGACGTCGCGGACGGCGGCGCGGGCCGGGATCGGAACGTCCGCCGCGACGACGCCGCGGCGCTGGCCGGCGGGCGCGAGACGCCGGCGTTGCCGTTGCGCGCCGGGGTCGAGGCGGAGGGCGACGTGGGCCGGGAGCGGCCGTCGGCCGGGCGCCCGCCGCTCTCGGGTTGCTCCGGCGGCAGCGGGGATTCCGCGTCCCCGCCGACAGACGGTTCCGGCGCGGCGAGCGGCGCGGCGAGCGGCGGGCTCGCCGCCGGCGCCCGAGTCCCGGGGGACGCGGTGGCGCGCGGGGTCGAGGACGAGCGCGAGGCCCGCTGCGACGCGCCGACGTACGGACTCGCGGCCCGGCACCCCGCGCCCGACGCGCGCGTTTCAAAAGGAGCGCCGCTCTCCTCCTTCGTCGCCGACGAACCTGAACGCGACGTCGGGGCCGGCTGCGGACCGCCCGCGTTCCCGGGCGGCGCCGAGGGATCGCTGGCGGCGCCCGGCACGGAGGCGCGCGGGGAGGAGGAGAGACTCGAGACGGAGGAAGCCGTTGAAATGATTAAAATGGAGCAGAAGGATATCTGAGCCTGTCTCTCGCAAGAGCAATGTCGTTACACGGCGGCGGGCCTTCTCCCCGCCACTCGCGGCGCGGAATCCCTCGCGGGGCGGCACGGCGTCGCCGGGGCTCGGGCGACGGCGCTGCTCTGAGAATTTCGACGGCCGCCTCGTTTTAACAAAAAAAAATCTCCCCCCCCCCCATTCTTCGAGTGAAATGCAATTTCAAAGGCGTGGCTTCACGTGAATTTTAAGTGTCCCGTGTTTTAAGAGAAGTGTCGTGGCTCTGTCGGACGGCGCAGCCTCGTGTGTTGGTGTAAGTGAGCCGTGCGTAGTAATTTTAGAATGTACCATCATTGTTTGTGTGGCGTTAACGAGATGATGATGATGACTACAGGAGAGAAAAAAAAACCCCTAAACGCCCGTACCTGTTGACATTTCATTTAATGGTTTAATTTTTTGTAATTTCAAATATATACCTTACAATTGTCGAATTAATGAAAAAACAACAACCTGGAAAGCATTTATATTTATTTCACCGTTGTGTTTCATTGTTTTAGTTTTATATGACGCCGCTATTTATGATGATGATGATGACGACGACGCGGGTCTGTGCGTGTGCCCAGGTGGGCTCTAGCTGTAGCCGTGATCGACTCCTGTGACCGTGTTTGTGTGCGTGAAGCGAAAACACAGTGCAATGGCTCTGAGCGCGAGCGCTCGCTCGTCTCGAGCCCGCCACCTCGTTCCGCGCGCGGATGGGCAGCGAGAGGGACACGTGTGGTCCTCGCCAGGTTCGTGTTACCGTGGAGGCTGTCGTGACCAGCGGCCTCGGCTGGGGATATTCTTGTCAATAAAAAAAATGTGAAAACACACCCACTCGTGTTTACCACTTGTGTGGCTCCAGATGCCAGGTCGTGTCTTCGTTTACCATTTTACCGGAACGGAACCATCGATAAGGCATGCCTGCACGGACAATCATCAACACGCAGCTGCGCATAGCATAACTCAAGCAGTATAGCTGCTCAGATGTACACATAGCATAACAGTACAGCTGTTCACATGTACACAGAATAGCAGTATCGCTGTTCACATGTACATAGAATAGCCGTATAGCTGCTCAGATGTACACATAGCATAACAGTATAGCTACTCAGATGTACACAGCATAACAGTATAGCTACTGACATGTACACAGAATAGCCGTATAGCTGCTTGTACTACACAGGATAACGTAGCAGGGTTGTTATGCTCACGCGATGGCTTCATCACGAAGATGGCAGCTGACTCATCTCACGTTGACCACAGTGGTGAAGTATGGTCAAACCATCAGCCGACATGTTGGGGATGCCTTCATCCATCACTGAATTGACAGAGGCTGTGCAGTTTTATTCATTTTGGGGGTGGGGGGGGGGGGGGTGGAATCAATTGTTGATTAGGGCCCTCGCCATAAGAATGTGGGACTTCCAACCACTTGTGATTCAGAGCCACGAACTAAACCCGAACTGGTGGTGGCATTCGAGTACCCGTTTGGAACACGGGTGACGTCCATAGCCACTTTCGCAGCAATGACAAAAGCGTGTCACGATGCAGCGCCGACTCGAGCCCGGGTCTAATTACTGCGGGCTGTGAAAGTTGATCGTGCCCTGGGACGCCGCTTTGCGCTTCACTGCTCGCACCGTACGCAACGATCAATGGGATGGGATGGGGGGGGGTCTGCGAGTGTCGCCCAAACGACGTTCTGTGCGCGATGTCGGAATTCGTGATCCGCCGTGCAATGCGTGAGGTTGCAATCACGGAGAGCGGAGAACGTGTCCAAAGGTGCGACTCCTTTTATTCGCGCCGATCGTTCTGCGGGAATCGCCGGATATACATACACATCGCCGCAGCCGCAAGGATATTTTGTGTTGTTGTTGCAGATGAACGTAAAGCGGGAAGGTAGCGTGGCACAACGTGTGAATGTTCACAGATCCCGCACCTCCGATTAGCACGGTTGGCTACGTACGGGTTCCAAAGAAGGTGAACGTACGTTCGTATCACATGGGCGGTGGACGATTTCACCGTTAAAAGTCCTCTTCAAGGAGAATATAATCGTGGCTCGCTTAGTCAAGTACGCCTCCCTTCCATTAGCGATGTGGGCACAACACGGCGATTGAGTGCGAACTGAATAGTGACTTTACGGAATAGTAACGCTCACTGAATAGTAACGCTCACTGAATAGTCACGCTCACAGAATAGTAACGCTCACAGAATAGTAACGTGCACAGAATAGTAACGCTCTCAGAATAGTAACGCTCAGAATAGTACCGCTCTCAGAATAGTAACGCTCAGAATAGTAACTCACAGAATAATAACACAGAATAGTAACGCTCAGAATAGTACCGCTCACAGAATAGTAACGCTCAGAATAGTAACTCACAGAATAATAACACAGAATAGTAACGCTCAGAATAGTAACACTCACAGAATAGTAACGCTCAAAATAGTAACGCTCAGAATAGTAACGTTCACAGAATAGTAACTCACAGAATAATAACAGAATATTAACTCACAGAATATTCACACTCAGCAGCGTCTGCACTTGGTCGGCCCAATTTGAAGCGAGTATTAGCGACATCCACAGCAGCACGTGCGTGCACTATGTGCACGCCGGACTTCTTTCGCACCGTACGCAGCCAACCCCGCTATAATCGGGAGGTGCGGGAAACACCCCTCCCCAACCAGCCCAGCGCCGGCGATTCGCGACAAGCGTCACCGACACCCAGCGAGATGCCCCCCCCCCCCCCCACGGTGGCTAACGAGCGTCGAGATCACCTCGTTAAACGTCACCTTGACACACGGCCGGTGAAGAGGACGGCTCAACAACAATAACAACTGCAGAGCAGCGCTCTTCTCCATTGCAAGGCCAGCGGGCCACTGGCGATCACCTGGTTTGTCTTTTAGTGCTGCCCCCTGACAATACACAACATTGGATAGACACCCCCCCCCCCCATCATCATCATCATCGTGTTGCTGTCAACCCCCCCCCAATGCAGTGCCGGATTAAGCTAGTAGCAAAAGTAGCTACATATGTAGTAGCTACGACATATGTAGTAGCAGCTACACGTGTAGTAGCTACATCTGTAGTAGCTACGGGCCCCGCACTTTCAAGGGCCCCGCGCTAAACGCTTTCAAGCTATCAATTCCGGTTCAGTGATTCTGCACTTGCTCTATTACTATAGTACTATACCGCTTTCAACCTTTATGGACGACTGGGTGTTTAAGGTTAGCGATTTGTCGTATTATCTGACTGCATAGCAAATGAAAAAATACAATTACTTTACTGTGCAAGTTAAAAATGTGAGTTTTAATATTTCTGTGTTTTTTTTATTTAGGGCCCCATTCTAACATATGATACAGGCGCCGCACTAGCTTAATCCGGCACTGCCCCAATGGCTTCAAATTTGTGTCGGAACCTCACACCGCGATGATGTGATGTCGGCGAAAGTGGCTTCACCTTTGAACGTGAGTCAAGAACAACACCGCTCAATAAGTGCATTGCGGCAGAGATTTCACTGTGGGCTGCTCTGGTCGAGGCTCTGGCTACATCTGCAGGCCGAGCGTGGAAGTGGTGATGCTCACGCGACGCGGCTTATTCTCGTCGAGTGTCGATCGATGTGAAAATGTGATCACCGCTCTCTCCAAACAAGCGGCTGCCCTCAAGGCAATACGAGCGCAAGATGAACGTATTGCCTCGGTTTGTAATGCACACGTTATGTCAATGAATCAACAACGGCTGGTTGATTATTTAAATGCACCAGATTTATATATATAAAAAAATACAAATCGGACTCTTTTAGTCTGGCCCCGTGGTGTTGCGGCAAAGCTCTCAAATCACAAACGGAATGCCATGAGTTCAAATTCTAGACAATATCACACCTCCACTTAAGATAATGGCTCCCGACACGGGAAAGCCAAATATCTCCCAGGCTGCCTTGTGCTCACTTCAGTTTGAATCGTTACTCGGTGAATTTTTATCCAAGAACTCACAAAATAGACAACACACGCAGGTTACAAGCACCATTGTGACCTTGAGGGCGAGTGGGATTGGACAGAAACACGTCCTTAGAAGTCGAGAATAATGATGGGGCGTTCGAGAGGACGTCCTCAAAAGATGCGATCAGCTCGCGTGCAGGTGCCGGATGGATCCCCGCCGTGGTGAGATGTTAACTCCCTCGCCTGGTATGCAAGGAGGTCGTCGGTTCGATGCAGACCCTGCTGTATATTTGGAGTTTGCGATGTCTCTATCGTCGCGTGGATTTTTCTCCGGGTCCTCCAGGTTTCCCCTCCACATTTAGAATCGTCATCACGCGTTCAGAGTATTTGGCTGCTATAAATTTCCAAGCGATGATGAGCCACTTCGTTGAGCTATCTTTTGTGGCCAGGTCGCTTCTAAAAAACATCTAGATAGCTCAGTGGGCCCTACCTGATACAATAAAAATAGTTTAGTTGATATCGTAGGGTCGTGAGAGATGGCGACGCCTGTGTGCAAGGCCTTCATCCAGCAATGGATTGATCACGGTTGATGGCGTTTGCTCAAGGAGCGGTGTTATACCATCTGTGTATGAATAGTATCATAGTACATTAATACCTTTAAAAATAATGAATTATAACATGTACGCATACCTGTCAACCCACCACACAGAGACCCATAGACTCACCACACAGAGACCCACAGACTCACCACACAGAGACCCATAGACTCACCACACAGAGACCCGCAGACTCACCACACAGAGACCCATAGACTCACCACACAGAGACCCACAGACTCACCACACAGAGACCCATAGACTCACCACACAGAGACCCATAGACTCACCACACAGAGACCCATAGACTCACCACACAGACACCCATAGACTCACCACACAGAGACCCATAGACTCACCACACAGAGACCCGCAGACTCACCACACAGAGACCCATAGACTCACCACACAGAGACCCACAGACTCACCACACAGAGACCCATAAACTCACCACACAGAGACCCATAGACTCACCACACAGAAACCCACAGACTCACCACACAGAGACCCATAGACGCACCACACAGAGACCACACAAAGACCCATAAACTCACCACACAGAGACCCATAGACTCACCACACAGAAACCCACAGACTCACCACACAGAGACCCATAGACTCAACACACAGAGACCCACAGACTCACCACACAGAGACCCATAGACGCACCACACAGAGACCACACAAAGACCCATAGACTCACCACACAGAGACCCATAGACTCACCCATACCTGTCAACCCACCACACAAAGACCCATAGACTCACCACACAGAGACCCACAGACTCACCACACAGAGACCCACAGACTCACCACGTAGAGACCCACAGACTAACCGCACAGAGACCCACAGACTCACCACACAGAGATCCATAGACCCACCACACAAAGACCCATAGACTCACCACACAGAGACCCATAGACTCACCACACAGCGACCCATAGACTCACCACACAGAGACCCATAGACTCACCACACAGCGACCCATAGACTCACCACACAGAGACCCATAGACTCACCACACAGAGACCCATAGACTCACCACACAAGAGACCCATAGACTCACCCAGAGCTGTCAATCCACACGGTTCACCCCGTATTATTGTACAGGGAAATTGAGTTTTCAGGTCCATCCGGCGTACAGCAGTTTCAATACGGACTTTGTAGGATGTACGTTGCGATTTATAAGGGCACGGGGGTGACCAATAAGGTCTGAATTGGTCTGTAATAAGGTAGGGCACTGATAAGGGCTTGACGTATCATGTTGAGACGGTTGCAGTACGTATTGTCGTATCCTAGTAAAGCCCTCCACTCCCCCTGTTGCACGATGCTGTGTACTGCTCGTACAGCCCAAAGGGAATTCGCCATGTGCCGTCCTCCAGCCAGACGCTGGAACATCGCGCTCTCCATAAAAGAACGTCAATATATATTTACGTACATATTTTACTTGACTGGGCCACTCTGCCGTACTTGCTCTGCGCCCGCAGCTACACAGACACAATATAAAAAAAAAATAGTTTCGTTCCCACCGCTGTCTTCCCTGCAAGCGTGTTGACGCCATGAAATATCTTTGCATATAATCAATTGTGAACGAATTAACGAGACGTGATGCGCGGACTCTATTCATTATTAACGATTGTTATTTGATATGCGCGTGTGTTATGGCGTGCCGCGTGTTTAGTGTTCGATGACACTGGGTGCGAGCCCTGTGGTGCGGTGTTGATATTCGGCATTAAGTTCCCGCGCGGGACGCTGAGGATTGAGCTAATGGCACGCGTTGTTTAGTAACGACGTCGGCTGAATGCGTTACTGGACCACTGCGAATCCCACGTGTGAGAGCACAAGCGAACTCACAACGCCTCCGATTAGCCAAGGTTGGTACGGTGTGAAATAAGTTCAATGTACATACAAAGACTCCCCCCCCCCCCAGTACAGCCTGAACAGACTGTTGGGGCAAGTGCTGTCAGCGAGCACGGCACACGAGGGGTGGGTGACCAACACCACACCTGGGCCGCCTTTGTCTCCCTCGTGGCGATGTTTGCTACACGCCGCACCAGGTACAACGCTCATTTGAGGCCGAGCCAACCTAGGGGAGGCCCAGAACCGGTTCAGATCATCGCCGCTGGTGTTGGCCGTGAGCGGCAATCGAACTCGGGTCGCCGGGTTCGTAGCGCAGCGCGAACTAACCGCTTGGACTGCCGCTGCCCACGCGCATCCGTACACAACACACTCAACAAACGTGGCCATGCAGATGAGGCTCCCCCCGTGGTTGGGATGACCCTCCTCGCGGGGTTGGAATATTGCGTGATGTGTCCGTGCCGTAGTGGCCCTGCCGAGCCGCAGTGAAATGCCCATTTGGTGTGGCTGCGATCACTCGGCTGGTGGAGGCGGTCGGATGGAAACCCTGAGCCAGAGCCGCTGAGATTCCGTGCAGCGGGAGATACATTGCTCATAGGGATAGTTTCCGGGAGGGGGGGGGGGGCGAGAAATTGTTTTCGACCCTGTACATCGATTCTAGACTTTAGCTGGTTCTCCAGTAATGTGAGTGCATGGTCTCAGTCTGGTCACCGACGAACTGCATTCATACTCTTTGGTTTTGTCGGTAAAGTCACGTAGATAAAACAAAATCAAAATAAAAGAAAACAACTAAATAAAATCACGACGTTTCGGAGGCAACACAAGCTTCCGTCTTCAGGTAGAACAGTCACAGCAAGATAGCTGCATCAAGCTATCTTGCTGTGACTGTTCCACCTGAAGATAGCTGCATCAAGCTATCTTGCTGTGACTGTTCCACCTGAAGACGGAAGCTAGTGTTGCCTCCGAAACGTCGTGATTTGATTTAGTTGTTTTCTTTCATTTTGATTTTATTTTATCTACGTGACTTTACCGAAAAAAACAAAGAGTATGAATCCTTGCAGTCACGAAAGCTTCAAATCTAGAACTGCATTCAGTTTGGTTCTCGCTTAATTCATTATACCGGCACTGAATATGTATAGCAGGGCAATTGAGATGCACCACCTAGCGTTGAATACAGGCAATTTTAAGGTCGGCCGCGGAAACACTCGTGTTTTTTATATTCTAGAGGTAGTTCTCTAAGGCTGCATGCTGGGGCAATATTGCATTGCTCTGCGAGAGTCATGGGCGTGGTATGAGGCCGATAGCACGAACATCGGAATACCGTACATGTGCGAAAACACAAATCAATTACGTCTAAGACACTCTGGCATCTGGTAGTGTATCGTGCAGTGGTAAGACGATGGCTGCTGATACAGCAGTGGATTGAGCATGGCTGGTGCCGCTGCTGCTACTGATGATGATGATGATGAAGCAATGAGAAGCGTACGGCGTGGGCGCACACGTCACGTTCAAAGACGCCGCACAACATAACGGGGCATGGTGCGTCACGGAGGCCATGATGATGAAGAATTCAGAAACTTAGCGGCAGGGCCGACAGCAGGACACGTGCTACCCCCCCCCCTCGCCTGAGGCTGCCAATATTCAGCGACACAACGCGTCATTTTGAGTCCCGGTGCAATAAGCCGGGCCTGTCATCTACACAATTACTGACGGACAAAACAAACAAACAGACAGACAGAGGTGCCTGATGCATAAACATGCGGTGCAGTGTTGGCGTGACGCGCTCCGGAGTGGCTGCCCCGGGATTGGACGCCGCGGATGCCCGCGAGACGCGTGGGGGGAGGAGGAGGAGGAGGGCAGCTCCTCCTCGCCTCTCCACAAATGGTGCGGAGCTCGGGAGGGGAGCTCACTGACAGAAGCCCACCAACTCCTACCCCCCCCCTCCGCAATCAGAGAGGTCAGAAAGAGAGAGGGAGCGCGCGTGTTGCAAGCTCCTGTCGAGCGCGCACCACTGCACGGTCGGCGCGACACGCGTGTCAAGAAACACCGGCGACTCGCCGTCGTCTTCGTCGTCATCGTCGTCTTCGGCGTCGTCACCATCACTCGCTGGCGAGTGACGCGAGACGCGACGAGGTTTTTTTTCTTCTTCCGCGCAGCTCTGCTCGGCTCGGGAGGACAAAGGAGGCTCGAAGCGCGTCGCAGCCAAGCTGCCATCCTCTCCTCCACACGCTCCACCCCGAGGGAACCATCGGAGCAAGAGAGGCGAATACAGAAAATCAGTAAGCTGCACCAGGCAGGCGCGTAGTACACAACCAGCGGTAGCAGCAGCGGTGACAGCAGCAGCAGCAGCAGCGGCAGCTGCTGTCACTGCACGAGAGGGGGATGGAGTAACACATCCCTCGCGCGCGGACCCAGCTCCTCGTCTTTGCCTTTAGCGATGTCACAGTGGGGTGGGGGAAGGGGGGCTCGGGAGGGATTGATCGATGAGATTGATTTGACCCCAGGCGAGTGATCGCATTCGCGTCAGTCACACACGAGGAGGAGGGGGAGGAGAGGAGGGAGGGAGTCGTTGCGTTTTGGCGCAGTGAGGTCCGGTCCTGTGCTGACCGATTCCGCTTCTAAACGTTTCCAATGTCGCGATCCCTCGGTCGCGTTACAGGGGCAGCTCTTTTTCAGACGCGGGTATTTTTGGAGGCCGCTCAAGTGTTCGCCGCCGCCACCGCCGCTGCTGCTGTTTCTGTTGGCGCATCAGCGCGTGCCGGGGCTGCGACTTGATTAATGTCTCCGTGTGGGTGGACAGCACTCACTTACAAGTTCGGGTTGAGGTCTGGTAACCGGAGCCGTTCTTTCGCGCCGCTTTACTTAAAACCGAACAAGGCAATGCCGCGCGCGAGCGCTCAAGCCGTGTGCCTACGATGCGGCAATGCATCCGAGTGCGCGCGACAGCGAGTGATCTTGCAGAAATTCGCACGCGGCCCTCGGTCCGTGGCAGCGCAAGAGACGCAATTTGGAAAGCTACGCCACAGAACGATGTAGCAGCGAGATGCCGCACAGCGGCCTCATTGCGGGTTCATTAATTTCTAAGGGTATCAATGTCATGCCGGTCATACGTGGATGGCACGATATTGGTCCTTCGGCAAACGTCATCATCAGCCGTGATCAATCCACTGCTGGGTGAAGGCTTCCGCCGGGCGTCGGCCATCTCTCGACGATCCTGCGATGCGATGAAGCCGCGCATTGCGTGCACACAACTCATCTCGTGCAGTGGGCACGACTCTCGGACGCACTCCGTTCCGTGGCTGTCAATCCGTCATTAGTCTCGACCATCGGGGCGTCATCCACCCCTTCCAGCCGTCACGTGCCTTGTGCAAGTCCACATTACTTTTCTTGACAGTTTGAATGACGGTCGTTGTGATGGCATGTACAGTAATTATCTATCACAGTATTAGTAATTACTACTACTACTCTGTATGGCGTTGCTGTAAAGAACGCGGCTGGACGGGTTCACGAGGCGTTGGTGATGTCGGCGATGGCCACGCCAAAATAGATTTGGGCCGCTCGTCCCGCAAGCGTTCCCTGCTGGGCTATGTCGCGCCAACTTGCTATTTGGGATGTTTTATATATAAACACACACACACACTTGTCTGGAAGCCAACTGAGTACGATGACGAGAGGTAATAACAATGGAAAGATTAACAGTCTTCAAATATCGTTGTATTATTAAATACACGAGATGACAATCAGCGGTTGGCATGACTCGTGACAAGCACCTAATGCTAAGGGTGTCTCCTGTGACCCAATCACCCTGAATGTGCCAGATCTTGTCAGATCGTGGAAGTTCAGCAGGCTTTCAGCCTGGTTAGAACACGGATGCCTGGGAATACCAGATGTGGTATAGGCTTGGGCTGCGAGGTGACTGGGAGATGGCAGTTACAGTCACTGAATGTGCGGCAAATTATTCTCGAATACGCCTGTGCAGATTGTTGAATGTTAACACGCCTTCATATGCGTGGGATTTCCCAGGGCACTCTGGTTTCAGCCCACGTGCAAACACTCGTTACTTACCCAGCAGGAGCCTTGGCCTTGAGGCTCTCTTTCAGAAGGATCTTGCGTTGGAGATGATGGGCTGTTTTCATGAATGAGTATTTGCCATGTGGAAGGAAATCTGAGAACCATGAGAAAACCCCAGGTTAACGCTCTCGTACACACGGAAGACATTTTAGTGGGCTACTGTGTACCAACCAACCACACCACTGCTGGCCCTTTCTCACAAACTAATTGCATTTCCAGTCTTTGTCCGCTTTTAAATTTATGGTATTCACAGCGCCGCAAATAGCCAGGCCGCGAGGTCAGCTGCTGCAGCGGCGCTCCACTCGGCCTGCCGCCGCCGCTGCTGCTGCCTCCTCGCTAACGAGGCCGCCGAGACCGCGTGACCCGGAGAAGCTCCCGCGAGAGGAATACACGCCATGGAACGTGGCCTGGAGCAGCAGGAGGAGGTGGTGGTGGTGGGCGACGGCTGCCGGACGGACGCCAGCGAGCACCGCGAGCACCAGGAGGACGCGGCGACGCGCAGAGTGAGCACGGCGCGATAATGATTCACTCAGCCCAAGCCTCGACAGCTCCGTCCGTAAACACAGCTGCGACTGTGAGCTGATGCGTCACGCCACGGCGTTAGCCGTATCCCGAGCCGAGGTCTACGGGGACATCGAACCAACGATGTAACGCATTCACAGCTCTAAGACGTTGCCTTTGCACAAGCAGATGTTGCTGAAACGGTAAAGTGCATTGGACGCAGCGAGGTCTATGGCAGCTTTTCTTTTCTTTCATTTAAAGCGTAAGTAGGCATCGTACGAAAGCGCGTCATAACACACGGTGGTGTCACTTGCGAATTTCAACAGTTGAACGAAGACACCGCAAGTGCCGAGCGACCCGAGCAGGCAGCTGAGCGGCGCGAGCAGGCGGCTGCTGGGCACGAAGACGACGAGAAGACGCCGGCGACGGAGGGGAGGCGCGACGACTCGGAGACGTTTCCACCGCGTGGAGACACTGAGCAAGGTCCACAGCTTCGGCAGGCTGACACAACTCGGCACGCAGAGGAGGCCGAGGCAACTGAGGATTCGCGTCCACAGGAAACTCGAGGGCCGGAACCAGGTCGCACACAAGAAGGCATGGAGCAAAACGGACAACTCGCCTCAAGTCACGAGAATGACCGAGCTCCTGCACCGCAGCCCACGGAGGCTCCCGAGGAGGCCCAAGGGATTCAGTGCAGCACAGACAGTTTACCGGCGATCTCAGATCAACAAGATCGTGCTGACGAGTCAGAGGATTCTAAACCAGCAGAAGCATCAGATGAAGCTCTTCAGCATCAGGGTGAGACACAAGACAGAAAATCATTAGACGACGCTTGCGTTGAGAAGGCAGATGCCGCTCGTGACGAATCAAAGGCAGGAGATTTAACGGATTCGCTGAAAGACATAGGAGGCACAGAACCGCAAATGGACGAAGCTGGAACACAACAAAGCACGGTCTTAGACGATGCTTACGTTGTGAAGGCCGGATACACTCGACACAAATCAGAGACGGAAAGCTCAGAGAGCAGTCTGAAGTATGTGAAAGATACCGTTCCAGCAACTGAGTCAGACATCCACAATCCGCAAGCGGGCGAAGAAAGAGAAGGGCAAGCCAAATGTAAGGACTCAAGTGTGGAGCAAGAATTTGAGGATCTCGAGCAGGAATTAAAGAATTTGCAATCAGACGAAGAGGCGACTCTAGTGCAAGAGCATGAATTTGAGGACTTGGAGCAAGCAGAGGCACTGGAAAAGGTGGCGAATGCAGAAGAAGAAGATGACGATAACACACCAGCAATAATCACAGCATTGGAGCCAGCTGCTGAAGAGGAGCGACCCGAAATACTCTTGCCAGCTGACACTTTACGTCCAGAAAAAGAGCAGGCATTTGAGGACCTTGAGCAAGAAATAGTATCTCTGCGATCCCGTGAAGAAAATGACCCGGTGGAAATTTCAGAAGACTTAACGACCTCCGAGTGTGAGCAGGGCGTAAAACGTGCAGTGGAATTGGAGGAGCGTGGACCATTCACAGCAGCCGAACAGGAGGAGTTTGATGAAGTGCGGGCAGCTGTGAATGTTGAGACAGCAGAGGAGCAGAAGGGCGCAGACATCGAGCATGGACCTGAAGAGAGACAGCTAACAGGAGAAGACATGGGTTATGTGCAGCCTAAGCACAACGTTAATGAAATCGAAACTGCGGACTTGGTCGCGGTAGATACTGGACATCGAGAAGAAACCAATGTCGCAGAGGAAGCAAGAGATGTAGAACAATCACGAAAGAGTTCATGCCCAGCAGTCGGAACCTCTACCGAATTGGAATATGGTGACGCTGGGATTGCCGTGTATGTCACCGAGGCAGATGATGAGAAAGAGGTAGACGCAATGGAGGAGCTCGTACCGGCGGCGTGCTCACTAGAAGGAGAATTGCCTCAAGGTGCGGATCAAGAATATGCGCAAGAGAAATCAAAGATCGCAGAACCCGATGGCGTGCCCGGAGACACCGCTGATCGAGAGTCAGTCGGCACGGTCGAAGACGTCGGAACAGTGACGCATTCCGAAGAAGTGAATCCAATTGAAATCCACAAATTGAACACATGCCTGGATCCAGTCGACGATAAAGAACGAGGAGTGGAAACGAGCAAAGCGATGGACGTAGAGCCACTCATGGGAACGCATATTCACGAGCAAGAGCACGTGACAGAAAATACAGGACCTGAAAAGCTTGTGCCACCACAAAGTACAGCAACAGAGCTGAGCCCGAATGAAGAGCTGCATGATCAACACATGCAGAGAAGTGAACATGTTGGATCAGACAACCTACGACAGGAGCAGCAGCAACAACGTATGACGTCTGAAATGTTCGAAGGTCTGGCTCCAACCGAAGAACTGGAGTCTGCAGATCTATCGGTTCAAACCGGGGTCACTGAAGATGCTAGTAGCTCTAAGGACGTCAACATGAATCAACAGTATGAACCAAATAATCTTGAAAACACACAAGGCAATGATAACTTTGACATGCAGTTAGCACGTGAGGATCTGGATCAGTTAAACACGATTGAATCAGAGGGCACAGGCAAAGCAGAAAACCAGCCCCAGGCATTGGTGCCACAAGCGACCAATGATTTAGACAAAACATTACCCCAAAGCCTAGACCCGTCTGAAGAGACACTCATTGGCTCCGTCGAGAGTCTTGAACCAACCGAAATTTTAGACCAATACTTGCAGCAATTTGAGGAGAGCAACCTCGTGTGGAATTTAGAAATTGACAGCAATCTGGGGGGAGCTGAGAATACGAAGCGACTCAATAAACTTGACGATTCGAGTGGCGCAGAGAAGACCGATAATTTGCGGCACACTCAGAGAAACGATCTCCCTGGACAAACAGAGATGCTCGTAAATGTCGAACCAGATGCCAACGAATGTGGAATGCACGCGATCACAGAAGTAGAAGGAGCAATGCAACTTGACGTTCTGGAACGAGATGCTAAGCTAGAAGTGGCAGAGTATGAGAATAAATTCTCACAGCATGACAACTCGACGTATCAGGCTCGCGACGAGCAACCAGCTGACACGTCAGAGGATTCTCAACAAGCTGAACGCAACAAGTGGCCGAAGGAGCTAGACCAGCCTCCGCCGTTCGATCACAAAGGGTATACGGAAGTACCTCGTGACGAAAGTGCCCAGGCTGAGCACCTGCAGTCTGTGATGCCAACTACAACCGTGCCTGAAGCAGTGGAGGAGGAGCCTACTGGGGTCTCAGAGATGTCTCGAGGTTTTGGACAAGACCAGCACCTGCAACGAGGAGACCACGATGGTGCACCAGCAGTGATGCACCAGCAGCAGCATTTAAGATCAATCACAGACGATGATCTGGAGATGCTCCAGCCTCCTGGGAATGCAGATGTTGAGCACGAGACGGGCCAAGCTGAAGACCTGAAACAGGAAGACATCCAGCAAAGGGCAGAGCCTCAGAATCCAGTCGCGGATGAGTGGTCGGAAACATCGCAGCCCTCTGAGTTAATTGAAATGGCCGAGAGGCTGGAGAAGGAAGAGCGCCTGAGAGGAGAAGACGAGGGCGAGGGGAACACACACACGGAGCGGTCACGTAAGCCAGACGACCCGCCAGAGATGCCAGCGTCGACTGAGACCACCAAAACAGAAGATGACATCGCCGAGGCTGAACAATTGGAGCAAGACAAGAGCCAGGGGCGGGAGGACATGGAGCGTCTTCAGTCGCTGGCACCAACTGCGGACGACGAGCCACAAGTGGCGCAGTCCGCAGAGATAACCCAAGCGGAGGCGTCACGCGCTGACGAGACTGCTTCAGGTTCGGCTGAAGCGGTCGATAAGGATCAGAGCGCACGGCCAGTAAATAGCCAGGAACAAGCGGAGCCTTTAGAGTTGGAGACGTCGCAGCCGACGCAGATCACGGAGGTAGCCAATGAGCTTGATGAGTGTGCGAACCTGCCAAATAAAGATGACGAGATGAAGGAGGAGGTGACACAGGTCGAGTTCTTAAAAGCCACCGGTGACGAACACCCAGAGACCACGCAGGCCATGGAGATGAGCGACACGGCGAGAGGCGTCAGGAGGGATGAAGCTATAAGCCAGGGGGGTAACGAGGGAGAAACGGACATCAAGCGGCTTCGCCCTCAAGGCGATCAACCAGATACGTCACGGTCTGCTGAGATAACGGAGGTGGAGGTGCCACCTGGGACACGGATCAGAGAAACGGACAGGGAGATGGATGAAGCACAAGGACCGGGGCAGGAAGGCCACCATGATAGCGTAGATCACGCGCAGCCCCAATCGTCAAGTGCGTATACAGATGGCCAATCGGAGATGTCGCGCTCCACGGATGTTTCAGAGACGGTAACAAAAGCTGAGAGAATTGAGCACTCGGAAGAAGTAGCTGTTCAGGAAAGCGCGGATGCTGAGGGCTGTCAGCCGGAATGTCCAGCGGTTGAGGAGACAGAGGAGACATCGCAGTGTGACGAGATGACAGAAGGGGAGATGGCGAAGTCTGCTAACGCGCTTGGGAAAGATCAACGCCGTCAAACAGAGGACAGCCGGGAACAAGCGGTGGTGCAGTTGCAGCCTCTGCACATGACCACAGGAGGCCGCTTGCCACCAGAGGAACCAGAGTCTGCAGAGAGTATGGAGGCAGTGAAGGGGAATGATGATGCTGACGACCAGGATGCAACAGAGGCGGCATTTAATCCACCTTTGAAGTTGGTTATAGATGAACCCACAGGGGTGCCACAGTTGACCGAGGTTATATTGACCAACGAAGACACGAATCCTAAACAGGATGAACCAGGAGAGGGCACGGCATCTCCTTCTCTGGGGCATGAGTGTGCTGTGCAGGGGGATGTGAGAAGTACGGATCAGCCCTTTGAAACCTCGTCAGGTCAGCAGCCGGAACGAAAAGATCCAGAAATTACTGGGAAAAATATCAAGGATACTTTGCAGTCCTTGATTCACTGCAACGTGGTGGAATCGTCTCACGGCATGATCCTGGAACCCAGCGAGAAAGGAAATATGCACATTTCCAAATACAAGCTCATGAACCCAGACTCGCAGCCAGAGATTCAAAAGGAGAAGACCATTCACGGCGACATTGGAAGTATCCTCAACGAGCTGCTCACCCACAGGGAGCCCCAGAGGCAGGAGGTCGCAATTGAGAAGGAGGAGAGGGGCAACCTGAAGGAGATTCTGGACAAGTTGATGACGCAGGCGAGCAAGTGTGAGGATGACAGAGAAGACGACCGAGTCGACGGAACAGCGAGCGAATATCCCGACACTGACGCGTCTGGAATTCAGAACGGAATCCTTATACAGGAGTGTCTCCAGGGCAGCGTCAAGATGACGGTCTACTCGCTGCAAAACCAAGATGACAACGGCAGTAGCCAGAAAGAAGAAGTCATAGCCGGCAATGTTAAAGGGGCAAAGGAGAGCCTCTTGGCCTCTGCAGAGAAGACAATGCCGAGAAAGCTCGAGCTGGATTACATCCGCAAGGGCAACGTGCGCTTCTACACAACGTGCATCAACAGTGGTGCCCTCGGCTACCTGCAGCTCCTGCAGGACCAGGGGGAGCAGCTTGAAGCAGCTGCTTCCTGTGACGCGAGCCGTGCCGGTCCCGTGCTCGCAGACACGGACGAGAGGGTGGACGTGAAGGCGATACGCAAGTCGTTTGAGGCAGCCTTAAAAGAGTCTGGAAATGAAAATGCCATCAAGGTTCCCGTTTGGCCACAGTACTGCGCTTCCAATATCAAGTCGGGAACGGCGAGTGAAAAAGCGCCCGGCGAAGCGGTAAATGCCACACCCCGACGTTCCGAGGCCCCTGCAGGTGCTGCCGGATGTGCTGCGAGCCAGGAGGCAGAGGGTCAGAGGGTAGCTCAAGCGAACATAAGCGAGGCTCTGCTTGAAACACAGAGCACGCACACCCCACAGCCGGGCCCTCTTACAGAGAGTCGGGTCCAATGCGAAGAAGTCGTGAAGGTGAACGTTAAAGACGCGCGCAGGAGTTTTGAAGAAGCCAAACAACTGGTGAGAGAAGTACAAAGGGAGGAAGTGATCAGGGGGAACGTGGAAGCTGCGAAGCAAAGCTTGATGGAATCGTTCAGCCGCGGGAAGGAGGTCGTGCGCCAGGTCGACATCGTGGAAGATCTGCAGACACTTCAGCGGAATGCGCCACTGGTCCAGCACGCCGCCTCCATGTACCACGATGGCCACCTCCTGGTCGAGGTGACCAACGATAACAACAATCGGACCTCCGGCGAGGAGGGCTCCCCTGCAGCGGCAGGAACCCCCCCTGATTTGAAGAGCAGTGATACACCGGAAAATAAAGAAATCGACGCAAACGCGCATCGAGAAACCCAGGATCCAACGCCTCGGCACCCCGAGTGCCGAGGCGCAGTCCACAAAGACGCCCACAACACGGGAGGGAAGTTACAGGAGCGCAAGGCTCCTCAAGAAAGCGCAGAAACCACTGAACAGTCACCTACGGAGAATACAAAGTCGCGTGCGTTTACTTGCGTGAACGAAAACACAACGGGGCCGCGAGATGAGAGTGAAAAGGGCCTCCCAAAGCAGGCTGCAGGGGAGCAGCTTTTTAAAATCCCTCCACCGGAGCCGGCTGCCCAGGCGAAGCACGCGAACCTTCACGAGGAGGAGCTTCCCCTGCCCGCTCCTCCGTTCGAATGCGAGCTCGAGGGTTCACTGCCACCTCCGCCGCCCGAAGTCCTCGCCGCGGTCGTTGCAGAAGATCTGCCGCTGCCACCCCCCCCGCCGCCTCCGGACACGCTCAAGGACGACTCCAGGCCGCCGTCATACCCCGCATCTCCGACGCGCGCGAGCCAGCAGGGCCAGGAACCAACGGGCGTCCGCAAGCTGCCCTTTCGAGTGAGGACTTTGGACATGCCAGGTCCGCCGATATCTTCATATGCCCCCATTCCGTTTAGGAAAAAGGCTGCGGACGCTCAGCCGTCGCAAGACAAAGCTCAGCGCGAGTCGTCCATTCCCAGGCAAAATGACGATGCCGACGTGGCCAATGCCTCTCCGAACAAGTTGAAGCAACATTTGAAAAACCAGGAGTCATCGTCTTCTGTCACCTTGCGGGACATAAACGCCATCAACAAATACCTGGAATCGAACGTAGAGAATTTTCACATTACGTCTGGCCCAATAGTGCGTTCAGTCGTATTCAAACCCGACAAATCCAATCCGCTAGAGACGGCCGTGATCAGTCCGCAATGCACGAGCCCCCAGAAGAAGCCAAAACCCGTCGCCAAAAGAGCGTTCAAGACCCCGCTGATGATCGCCGAGGAAAACTTCAAGCGGCAGCAAGCCGAGAAACTGAAAGACAAGACTGCGGGCTTGGCTACGAGCGTGCAGTGGAGGGACACGCTCAAAGGCCAAGACGATGACACCGACCGCACTTTGTCAAACGAGGCCGCCTACCCGCACCACAACCCACTCTGCGACGAGAGGACGAGTTCTGCCCACGCGGACGCCCTGAGCGCCGCTGAGGGCGCAGCGCAGTGCGTTATTTTCACCAACAAAGCGCTCACGAATAATCGGCAGCTCAATCAAAGTCCGCAGCGTCCCACAGAGGCGGCAGCGACAACCCCGTGGCATCTGGAGGCAGGGACGCAGCCCATGTCGACGCAGGCGCACGTGGAGCAGCAGTCTGCCCGCGTCGATCGGCGCACGGCGACGGGGGAATGCACTCAACAGCAGTGCAGCGAGCTCAGTCGCCTGCGGTGCGAGTCGAGCGTTGGAGGAGGCAAGGGCGCTGCTGGCGCGGAGCCACAAGGTGAGTGTCTCGCGGCGACGAGAGACGACCGAGCTGGCGCGCGCGGCCGTTGTGGCACGCGCCAGCCGCGGGCGCGCGATTCGAAGGATTCCGTTGCAGAGCGCGGCTCGACGGCGCCAAAGCCGCCGGCGATTCACGAGGATGCGCGCGCCGCTGGGCCACGCGGCGCGCGCACCGCGCAACCTGCGCTTGCCGCTCTCGGCGAGGACAGCCGTGGAGAGTCGGTTGGCGAGAAGAACTCCTCGGCGAAAGCGAACGCGGCACGAGGGGGTAGGGAAGGGTGCCGGCAACAGACGTCGTGGCGGTCGCCGACCTTCATTGAGATTAGATCCATTGCAAGAAAACCGAGGGACATTGTCAGAGAGGTCCCATCTCTTCCTCGCACATTATTGGTTTCGTTGCCCCTGCTGGGAGGTTTCTCCCGCAGGACGCGCGCACAGTCGCCTCGTCCGCCGCCACGACCGTCGCACGACACACACGGCCCACGCTCTTCGCCAACCGCGTGTCGAGCCGGGGGAGGAGAAGGAGGCGCCGCACCGAGCCTGGGGGATGAGCGCCAAAGCAGCTCATCTTGCATGGCGTGCAGCCTGCCCGTGGTTCCCGTCGCCGCTAAACAATCTGCGGTGGTCTCGGCGCCGCTAACGCTCAGGAGACAGCTCAATATTCACTCCACGGTCTCCACAGCCAGTGCCAGGACAGTGGACGCAGAGAGAATTAACAAAGAGCAGTCTCTGCCGTTCCTGTTGAAGCTTAGGAACGGCAAGGACGACAACAGAGCGGAAAAGAGAGCGGTCTGCAGGGGCAAAGACATGAAGGGCGTTCACGGGAGTCCGACATCCAAGAGAAATGTTTCAAAGCAAGTCTGGATCACTTCCTGCGATCCATATAAAGCCAATGTCCCGACTAACAACGTGTCTTTAACGAGCAGCATGGATGAGGATCTCCTCCTCCTGGAGCAGAGCCTGAGAGAGACAGAGCAGCTGCTGCAGAGCATGCGTGAGAGTTCCCAACAGAAGGCGTCCCTAGCCCACGGGACCCGCCAGCGCAAGGCTTCCTCGGCGCCAGGTCTGTGCCGCTGGGATGGGGGCAGCCCCTCGCCACACTCGGCGAGGAGGTTAGCGTGAGACGCACAGCTGAGCAGCATGCGTCATTTGGCTGGGAATGAGCTCTGAGCTTCACGCCTTTCGGAAACGTCCTCGGCTCGGAGAGAAGGCACCGCTTTTGGCCTGGCTGCAGTGAGCACGAAGCACGCAAGGCCCCCCCCTATTTGCAGTTGATGCGCACGCTGTGGCTTTTGCTGCGACGCACCTGCAATTGCTCTTTCGCGGGCTTGCTGCAGTCTCCGTTAATGGCAGAGCAGCGGTGTGGTGGATGCTTTCCATCTGTTGGCTGCACTTTGCGTGTCATCGGTGAGCGACAGACGAAGGCATTTTAAAAGCAATCTGCGGCTGCTTTTACACACGTTGTGTGGGTATGACGTGAATTAACACATGCTTTAGTGGAAGCAATAATTGTGATGAGTATTAATTTCAAATCCATGCTTAAGTTCTTTTGAAAATCCATTACTGTTGGGGGAAAAAAATTGCGGGCAGCTTCTAAAACATACGAAGGAGTTATTTCATCAGCGGAGCTACGCCGATGAAAATTATGTTTACTAAGCAATTGTGCGCCGCTGCGGGAAATCAAAAGACTGGCTTCACTCTAACAGTTTTAAATTGCCGCACGATGTCAACTTTCAAACGTAACCCCTGTCAAACATTTACAAACATACACAGTTTGTCAGGATTCCGTTTTCAGACGCAGACAATATTCTTCACGGTCCGAGACAGCAGCAGCAGCAGAAGCAGCTGTTTTCAAAATATATGCTAAAAATAAACATTCCCATCTATTTTTTGTAACTCAGCACCACAAAAGCCACTGTGCTCCTCTGCCACCCTCCCAACTCCCCTGCCACAAAACTAATCCCACCGCTGTCGCCTGCCTACAGTTGTTAAAATGATAACCCTTTGGAATTACTTAAGTGCAGAAGACTTGGGCCGGACAGCAGAAGGCAACTTTGGAGGACATTTCCCCCCGAGTCTCGTATGGAAATAAATGTAAATTATGGGAAATAAATGTTCACTTCGGTTCTTTAATGCAACCTGCCCCGAGTTCTTCTTGACAGACAATTTCCCAGATGGCTCAGCGGTAGAGCGGGCGGCTCTCAATCGGAAGATCGCAAGTTCAAATTCTTGTTTGGGGGTTGAATCAGCACACCATACCTCCCAGGGTCGATACAATACGTACCGCTTGGTGGAGGAATTAACAGTGGTTATCCTACAAATTTAACTCACCCCCCACCCCGCCCACCTTGGGAATGTGAAAAATCCACCACTATCCCTGGATAGCTGTAAACAGGGAGAGATGATCACCACTTCAATGCTCATTTGAGCAGCAGGAGATCATTTTGACTGCACTTGACAGTTTGCCAATGTCTTCCTAACGTTGAATTCCATGCGCCGCTCATGGGGGTGGGGTGGGAGCAGGATCGTGTTCGAGCCACGGGGAGGCCCTGGGCCGCCAGGAGAGGGAGGGCGACTCGGCCGGGCCGGGTCCTGCGAGCTTCCCATAGCGGCGTCACTGCAGGAAGGTGAGTTACCGCCATGACCCCTCCGTGTGCTGCTGGTGGTAGGCCATGTTGCAACGCTTGACCATCATGGGCCGTGGTCATTCCACTGCTGTATGAAGACATCCCCACGCTGTCGCCATCCCTCGCTGCCCTGCGGTGCGATCAATACGAAGACTGATGTTAATGTTTTGATGTGTACCTTGGACTACGTGTATGTACCTTGTACTGCGAGTATGGTGCGGCAGTGGCCCGCCCAGCTAAAGCATTTCAGGGAATCAAAAGTAAATACAAATTAACTGTTGACGATAGGAAAATATTTAGAATGTTTACACTTTCACGAACACATTTTCAAAAATGAGTCAATGACAAACGGTTCCACCGCGGTGCAGCTGCCCCTGGGAGGGCATCCACGGCATGAGTCACTCTAGGAAAAAATAATCATCGGTTTTACCCTTTATGGCAATAACACGGGAGGTGTTAAGATGTTCAAACACCAAATAGAAACCTTTTGCAAGGAATCGAGTCTGCATTAACCACACACACAGTACTTGTTTGTGAACATGCAAACAAAAACATGCTCTGATAATATATGATGCATTGCCTTTGAAACTTGATTGGTCTCGACCAGAGACAGCCTTCTTTAGGGCCTAGTCTCACCAGTGTCTTATTTTCTTATTTTATTCTTATGTTGCACACTCGAAATGAAGGACGTGGGCAGGTGCTCCAAATCGAGGGCAAACACATTTATAGTGGTCAATCTGTAAGATGTAACAAACAGCACGTGTGTCACACAGCAATCTTAAACCGAGTCGCCATTAACCACGTGACTGGTGTACCTGTCCGGCTAATCAATAACCCTGCCAGCCCCCTACAGGCCCAACTCAGTCATGGCATGCTGCTACACACGTGCATTGATGCACCGCGCAGCACATGACGACTTTCACAGAACCACACTTTACTCCCTTGCTGCACGAGGAAATAATTAAAAGAGTGGTCCATTCCTAATGTGCCACACTTATATTTTATTTATATTCTTATTGAAATACATTTTATTTCTATTCTTATAGAAATGAAATACTTTGATACTGGCAAGAAAGGTTCCATCAATCACTCTGTTCACCTGCCAATCACAGAGCGCAACCAAGGGGCCGTCCATAAATGACGTCACGCACCTAGGGGGGGGGGGTCAGACATTTGTGACGATGTGTGACAAGGGGGGGGGGGGTGAGAAATGTGACGTCACATCAAAATGCGCAACTTTAAATAAATATAGACAACACGTTCAACTTAATTAAATAGACTTTTTAACAAATGTTTTCTCCTACAACATCAGAGTGCAGCGCCACATTAAATACGCACTACAATGACAATAGTTTAAAGCGATTTGAAGCATGTTTTATTTTGGGGGGGGGCAGAGCTTTGTGACGTCATATTTGAGGGAAGGTCTGACTTTTTATGACGCCGTGTGTCGATGGGGGTGGTGGACGGCCTCCAAGGCGACGCGTCACGCACACACCACGTGCAGCAGTGCACACCACGTGATATCCCTCACTTGTAAACCCGTGCTCCAGAGTGCGGAATCAACGACAGGCTCGAACGCTCACGACACGAGTCGTACCTGAAAGCCCGCTCGGTAATCGGTGGCGGCTCGTGACATGTCCACCAGCTGGGGCTGTTGTGGGTGACCTCTGAAAAGACGGTGTTCTCATTCAGAAAAACCTCGTCGTCTTTTTGGCCTTCCCGTGAAAGTGATAAAACTGTCTTTTCTACCAACGGTGAGGCATTTATAAACAATACGAAGCAAACCAACAAAGCACTCAAATGCTGTGCCCATGACCCTCAAGTCCTCACTCCACAACCCCTTTGGCACTGCCAAAAGCCATGACCTGCTTTATATATTTGCACAGTGCACAGGAAACGGAACATGCCAATGTCACGTTACATACCTTACTAATTGGCTGTGTCAGGTGGTGGCGGGTTTAACGACACATTTATTTATTTCCGCGATCTAAACCAAAAAAAACCTGTATTATGGATGATATTGGTCACGAAAGCCTACGCCTTTAACTGACCATCTCTTATATATGTCGTGGCTAAATGTCGCTATCCACAGATCTCCAGCTGACACGGACCAAACTTCGTTTCGATTTCAGGATGAAGGTGGTGTGGCTGAGGTGAGCCTGGACCCACACCTGACTGCAAGGGAAGCCTCCTCCTCCTCCCTCGAGATTCTGGACATCAAATCGTCCAGCTAACACAAGACGCATCACATTCACAACTGCTCCACATCACATTCTATGACGCAGCAAATTGCGCTGATCGAGCAAACAACCAAACGCTGATCAGAACGTCCACGGACCTGTCGACAATGCATTCGGCTGTACGCCACATTCTCCGTCGCCATAATACTTGAAATATTGTTACCAAGGGGATTATACCGTACGTCAGTGTACAACACAAGCATGTACTGGGACTACATTTAGATTTTCATGCGTCCTGAGAAGCAGGTAGGTCACGTGAGTGAGCTGGGCAGGTGTAGCAGAGACTATTAGAGTGCAAAAGCAATGGCAGCTTAAGTTTCTCAATTTTCTATTTGAGTTTACCTTACGTAAGGGCATAGTGGTGTCCGGCAACTGCGCTCTGAACCCGGGGGGCCTCGAGTTCAACCCCCTTACCCCAGTCACCGCGGACACGAGCGGCGAGTGCCAATGTGACATGTCCGTCCGGGTGTCCTCTCTCCCCTCCCTCCGACTCCCCGACCCACGCCGACCATTGTGGTCAAGTTTGTGGTCAAGCAACCGCATCGATTGACACCGTGTGCGGCGGGGGGCGGGGGGCGGGGAGGCCTTCGCGAAGGCGGCGGCGGATCGACGAGTCGACGAGTTGTCGCTTCGTTGATTTTCTTTTTTGCAGGGAAACACGCGGGAGCCGCGTGCCCCCTTTGTGACGCGGCGCAAAGCCACGCGCACCGATGGGGCATCGGCGCGCGTGCGAAGGGAGATCTCGGAGAACCCGTGCCATGTGTCGTAGAACTCTTGTGTGCCATCGCGACTCAGTGCTGACAATGTCAGTGTGGTTTAGGAAGTCATCGACGATGATGACGTTAATACAAAATACTCGTTTGCCTTGATGGCAGTAACACGGGAAGTAGTGATGCGTGGCCGATGGGGAAGCAGGGAAGTGATTCTGCCACTCCAGTGACCGGCAGTGCGGCGGCGTGACACCTCCGCAGCCAGGACGATGAAGTCCATGGGCCAAACCAGTATCCAGCACCATTACAGCTGACATTGATACTCATTTATCTATGTATGTATGTATGTTGAACTTCTTTCACGTAGCCAGCCGTGCCAATCGGAGGTGCGGGGGAGGGGGAGGAAGGACAGCAAACTAAACACAAAAAGGAGTTCTATAGACATGAGTTCGCAACTTAGATTTAAAAGTGCATAGTTCCTGTGACTTCCCAATAAGAGTGGATTACAACGCAAGGTTACCGCACGGGCTACTTTTAATCACGACGTTAAAGAGCTTGCTGCAGGGTGGCATCAACAAATAACAAAAAAGCGTTTGTGGCCCACGGGCTAAATGCCGCTTTGCTCATTTAGCCCGTGGGCCACCGGTGTCGCGCAAATGTCAGCTTCGAGCTGGGAGAGTGCCTCGACGCAGCAGCGGCTCGAAATACCCAGAGGCAGGGCGATGCACTTGTAGACCCCACCGCCTCCCCCACAGAAGTCCTTTCACGACCCAGTTGCTTCTCCACAGACGCAAGGGGGAGGGAGGGAGGGAGGATGGCCCCAAAACGTTGCAGAGGATTTCGTCAGCTTGCATTGGGAGATTTGGCGGGGAGGCTTTGGAACCCACACGCGCTTGCTCCCGTAGTCTCCAATTTGTATTTTGAGCTGGCCGTCTATTAATGGATCGCAGTGTTTGAGTAAGGATGCGCTCTCACGAGCCCGTTGCTTAAGATTCGCGTGTCCTGTTATTCCGCTGAGGAAAGTACATGGGGATGGGGATTTTTTTTATTTTTAAAGGCATGGCGGTCGTGGCATGCAGCACGAATGACGACGATAGTTCTTAAAAGTCGTCAGCACGCCGACGGACAATGCGGTTAATGTATCCCCGTGTCGTGGTATGGGGGCCATCCATTGAGTATGTACGCGTGGCGGAGGGGGGTTAACCTAAATGCGTTCGCTTGCGTATGGGGTGGGGGTCTACTGACGATGTTCGTATAGGAAACGGGGGGGGGGGGGCTCGATAATAATTTGTCGACATTGGCCTTCAAATGAGCCACAGTTCAGTTTCTTCAGCTGTCAGACCAAGTACTACCGGGAGAGGTGGGACTGTGTGCAGCTATCACGCAGCTCAGCAAACGTAAGTGGCCAAGATACGCGACCTAATTATATCCTGCAGCCGGCGTTGGACTATCTGTTTGCTTAAACACGTTCATAGTATTAATCCTTGATCGTTTCTGCGTGGATGAAATACCGGCCGTTCTATAGGATTTGGGGGGGGGGGGTGTAAAAAGTCCACGTGTCTACAGGGAGGGGTCAAGTTCTGACAGATCTTCTGCGTAACCTACTCAATGGATGGCCCCTATGGCTGCTGTATTCCGCCGCCAGAGGTGTTAGGCAGTTGTGCTGCCGCGTGTTACCGAGTGCTCTTCGACGCGGTGTCCGACGTTTTTCTTCAGTTCCTGAAGAAGGCCCCCCCCCTCGCCCCGAGAAGCGAAATCGTCGGGGCGTAGCGCCGAATAGCGCGCGGTAGGACACCATCATTATCATCACCACAATCATTACCATCACCATCATCACCATCATTACCACCATCATCACCACCATCATCATCACCATCATCATCATCACCATCATCACCATCACCACAATCACCACAATCATCACCATCATCACCACAATCATCACCATCACCACCATCATCACCACAATCACCACCACCATCACCATCATCACCATCACCACCATCACCACAATCACCATCACCACCACAATCACCACAATCATCATCACCATCATCATCACCATCACCACCATCACCATCACCACCTCCATCATCACCACCATCATCATCACCACCACCATCATCATCATCACCATCATCACCACCATGACCACCACCATCACCACCATCACCATCACTATCACCATCACCATCATTACCATCATCACCATCACCACCATCACCATCACCACCATCACCTCCATCACCATCACCACCATCACCACCATCACCACCATTACCACCATCACCACCACCATCACCATCACCACCATCATCATCATCACCACCACCATCACCACCACCATCACTACCACCATCACTACCACCATCACCACCACCATCACCACCACCATCACCACCACCATCACCACCATCACCACCATCACTATCATCATCATCACCATCATCACCACCATGACCACCACCATCACCACCATCACCATCACCACCATCACTATCACCATCACCATCATTACCATCATCACCATCACCACCATCACCATCACCACCATCACCTCCATCACCATCACCACCATCACCACCATCACCACCATTACCACCATCACCACCACCATCACCATCACCACCATCATCATCATCACCACCACCATCACCACCACCATCACTACCACCATCACTACCACCATCACCACCACCATCACCATCACCACCACCATCACCACCACCATCACCATCACCACCATCACCACCATCACTATCACCATCACCACCATCACCACCACCATCACCACCACCATCACCACCACCATCACCATCACCACCATCATCACCATCACCACCGTCACCACAATCACCATCACCACCATCACCACCACCATCACCATCACCACCACCATCACCACCACCATCACCACCACCATCACCACCATCATCACCATCACCACCGTCACCACAATCACCATCACCACCATCATCACCACCATCACCACCACCATCACCACCACCACCATCACCACCACCACCATCACCACCATCACCATCACCACCATCACCACCATCACCATCATCACCACCATCACCATCACCACCATCATCACCATCACCACGATCACCACCACCATCATCATCATCACCACCATCACCATCACCACAATCATCACCATCACCATCACCACCATCACCACAATCACCACCATCACCACAATCATCACCATCACCACCATCACCACCATCACCATCACCACCATCACCACCACCATCACCACCACCATCACCACCACCATCACCACCACCACCACCATCATCACCATCACCACCACCATCACCATCACCACCACCATCACCATCACCACCACCATCACCACCATCATCACCGTCACCACCGTCACCACAATCACCATCACCACCATCATCACCACCATCACCACCACCACCACCATCACCACCACCATCACCATCACCACCATCACCATCACCACCATCACCACCACCATCACCACCACCATCACCACCACCATCACCACCACCATCACCACCATCACCACCATCACCATCACCACCACCATCACCACCACCATCACCATCACCACCATCACCACCATCACTATCACCATCACTATCACCATCACCACCACCATCACCACCACCATCACCACCACCATCACCACCACCATCACCACCATCATCACCATCACCACCGTCACCACAATCACCATCACCACCATCATCACCACCATCACCACCACCATCACCACCACCACCACCATCACCACCACCATCACCATCACCACCACCATCACCACCATCATCACCATCACCACCGTCACCACAATCACCATCACCACCATCATCACCACCATCACCATCACCACCATCACCATCATCAGCACCATCACCATCACCACCATCACCATCATCACCATCACCATCACCACCATCACCACCACCACCACCATCACCATCATCATCATCACCACAATCATCACCACAATCATCACCATCACCACCATCACCACAATCACCACCATCACCACAATCATCACCATCACCATCACCACCATCACCATCACCACCACCACCATCACCATGACCACCATCACCACCACCATCACCACCACCATCACCACCACCATCACCACCACCACCATCACCACCACCATCACCACCACCATCACCACCACCATCACCACCACCATCACCACCACCATCACCACCACAATCACCATCACCACCATCATCACCACCACCATCACCACCACCACCATCACCACCATCACCATCATCACCACCATCACCATTACCACCATCACCACCATCACCACCACCATAATCATCACCATCACCACCATCACCACAATCACCACCATCACCACCATCATCACCGCCATCACCACCACCATCACCACCATCACCACCATCACCACCACCATCACCACCACCATCACCACCATCATCACCACCACCATCACCACCATCATCACCACCATCACCACAATCACCACCACCATCACCATCACCACCACCATCACTACCATCATCACCGCCATCACCACCACCATCACCTCCACCATCACCTCCACCATCACCACAATCACTACCACCATCACCACCATCACCACCACCATCACCACCATCGGGGGAAGCTACATTACACCATTCAGCACTCATCCCGTGGCTGCTTGTGCTACTAAGAACAAGCAGGCGATGTAGCTTGTTACTAAACTCGGTAGCGTCTCGCTGGAGGCAGCGACGTCGATGAGAGCTCCAAGTCGCGACTTACGAGCCGCTCGTGCGAGGACGGCTGCTGCTCTATGCCCATAGGGTCGCGCGAGTCGATTTGCAATATCTAACCGTTTGTATTTACGATTTTACAACAATAATAATATAAGGGGTGGGGGGCTTATTTATATGTGATAACAATTACTTATCGTATTTAGTCAATTGCAGTTACTCGAAGTGGACTTTACGGTCCAAACACAATGCGCGTCCCCAAAGGGGGTCGTCCGTCGTTGTGGAACACGGCAGGTGAGTGAGTTTCGCTTCACACAACCATCGCTCCCTGCCCTGAGCTTTCATTCCGCTGCAGGCAGCATTGGCCGGGGAAGGCTGCGCTGGGACATTCGAGACTGAATTAATAATTAATAATCTTAATAATGATTGTGCCGTGGGGCTGAATACCGTCCGTTGTAACGGGGGCATGTACCATGTGTGTATACTGCCGCAAACATTTAATGGAATGCCGGGAGCTAATAGATTGTGTTTTTTCCTATATCGTAGAGCTACAATTAACTAATTTGTATAATTTATATGGTTTGGTGAACGTATTCTTTTTTGTTCTGAATAATAAACGAAAAAGCAGAGCTTCTGATTAACACAAGGGCGTTGTAACGGTACTTTATATTTTAACGTTAAAATTATTCGCTGCTGGATATCTTGATATTCGCAATCGCCTGCTCCTAGGAGGCCCAGCGAAGCAGATTGTGTAAGCTGCCACACCACGGGCTTACACAACTTGCAGTTTACTTCGATCCGAGATGATTCGTGTTTCAAAATTACTTCAGCTAACAGAACATTGAGCATGTATTTTGTATCGCAGCTAGAATGATAAGCATTAAAACTTTGAAAATCAATCACCCGTACTGTGATCTTTTAAAATGTTAAGCGTGTTTTCCCCCCGATTAGCACGGTTGGCTACGTACGCTAAAGAAGTTCAACATACGTACAAAGTCAAGAGTCTTCCGATTGCAGTGGGCAACCTTGAGCTTAAATGTATAAATCTCAACTCATAACCAAAGCCTCCTATTCTCACCACCTCATCTCTCTCCTTACATCTTCATCACCACGTGCTCCTGTTCACCCATTCTAAACCTCACAAGCACCATCTCCACGTGGTCCTCTGAGATCCGCCGATAAATTCGTCGTGGAGTAACTGGTCAAGGGTGGAGTTGTCATGAGGATGGAGTTGAGATGATGACGGAAGATCTGTCTCGGTGGAGTTGTGATTAGGGGTGAGGTTGTGACCGAGTGTGGAGCAGTGACGAGGATATGTCACTATAACCGCAGAGATCCCCCGTATAGCCTCAACAGACTGTAGGGGCAAGTGCTGTTAGATAGCACCTATGAAGATTGGAGCGGCACACGAGGGGGTGGGTGGCCAGCACCACGCCCGGCCGCCTTTGTCTCCCCAGTGGTGATGTTTGCACATCGCAACAGGTACCCATTTGAGGTTGAGTCGACCTAGGAGAGGCCCAGGACCAGTTCAGATATAATCGTCACTGGTGTTGATCACGAGCGGGAATCGAACTCGGATCGCCTGGATTCGTAGCGCAGCGCGCTAATCGCTACACTGCTTCCCCACCATATCACTACAAACAATACCACACACCTCCACCATGTCCCGACAAACACCACCCCACACGCGCCACACGGAGGGAAGCCCAGCCTCAACAAAGCGTGGATGCCCAGAAGGGGAAGTTGAGAGTCGCAAGGTGAGTGGCTCTGCCTGTGATAGGCACCACCAGTCCAGTCCATACGCGGTATTCACGAATATAACATTGTTTAAAAGTCAACCGGTTCTTCAGGTTTGTGACATGCGGCGAAAAATGTGACAATGTCTGAAATAAACTGAGGAACATAAGAAGGTTCAGGTCCATCTCAGAGCACATACAGTAAGCACTACAAACCTGGCTTTTAACCCAGGTTCCCAGAGTACACCAGGCACTCCACGTGCAGTGAGCTGGAAGGTCCCAGCCCTGTATCCGGCGATGTAAGCTAGACGGGTTGTGGCTAGCAACACGAAATACTTCTAACAGAGTTAGCAGGGCTGTGTTGGTATGAAAGGGTTCCCACCTGATATGGCAGTGTGGTCACCTTCCATGTTCACTGCCGTGCTGAGAACTTCTGAAAATTGGTCACTCACCTCATGACCAATGTTTCCATGCATAGACACACATGCATGCGTCACAACACCGTGTTGGATTTGAAGACACTTTTGAAGTGTGAATAATGAATAGCAATTAACGATTGGCATCATCCCTCGAAAGTACCGTCTCATTAGGGAAAACACTGAAAATGAATCAACCAATGACGATTCCAGCCGTGTTTAATTAACTTTAATTTGACTTTAATACTTATGTATCAATTATAATCACACTAGAACATATTTTTCCTTTATCCCTTTGTTATTTCGGCAGAGTAACTGCATGAAAATATGCAACAAAGATACCCTAAACAATTTTCTTAAGCGCAACGACAAAAAACACACCCGCACTGCGTTCAGTACACGTGCCGTACCTCTTGCAAAGCTTGCAAGAGCTAAGGCCAATTGTAATGCCTTAAAAAAAAAGACTATTCTGTGAAACGGATGAATGCATCAGATAAAATATGCTGAAGACCAACTTCCTCGTTGCACAAAATCGAGACATTGAGATGAAGTGCTGAACGATGTGCAAATGGCAACAGGTGGGTGTAGCGTCCACTGCTTTATCACTCACTTCGTCGTCAGCCATGACCAACCCACTGCTGGATGAAGACCACCACACTCTCGTGCCAATGTGGGCTCAAGGCAGTAAGCATATTCCCGAGGGTGCGGGAGTACAGCACCACATTGTCTGCAGTCCTCGTGCTGCCCACAATGTAGCCCTGCAGCCTTGAAACTCCTCGTATGCATGGTGGTCATCTTAAGCATTATCCACAAGGGAGGGGGGGGACCAAGATCTGTTCCGATGTCACTCGCCACCGATTTTAGCCGTGGCCACAAATCAAAATTCAGCCCGCGGGGTTTGCAGCACGGCGTGCGAAACCCACTGTGCTTACCACCACTGCCCCGCACGTCCGACTGCACCGGCCTGTGTGTATATATATCAACAATAATACACCAAATCCTCACTTTGGCAATGTATGCAGAAACCGTAAATATATATTTTGTCACGAGACATTCGCCTCCACGTAACTACAAAGCGTGTGGCGAGCGTGCCCGTTGCTTGCTGTGCCCAAGTGGTGGTTGCTCGCCGTGACCACACGGTGGTTGGTTGGGCGATGGCAGCAGCACGTTGTAGTGTCGGTCGTCCTCGGTGACGATTGCCACCTCCGGTCGTTCTACCGCGCCCCCACCACGTGCAGGTTCGCTCTCCGGATAGCACACTTGAAATTCCTCCGTGCCAAACATGTACAGCCGAAAGGCACGGATAGTGATGCCCAGAGTGTAGCCCAGGAGGCACATCTCCACCTGCAAATAAGTGTGCGCGCACCGCAAAGACTGGTGTGAACGCAGCGACAAAAGCAAGTGTGAACCCCGGTCCATACGAAGCGATTTTGTGTTAAAGCGATAACAGTGGGCTGTTGCCAAACATTGTTGCCCAAGTCAGTCTGCGAAGGCTGATGAACTACTGTTTCGAATTCTATTTCAAGGTAGGGTCCGGCATGGGCCAATCAGTGATGATCATGTATAGCACGCTTGATGCCACACGAGACGACCGTGCAATCGTTTCAGGAGGTGTCACGGAAAGTGACATCGCATCACTTTAAATACCCAGCGATTCTCCATCCTCACTTGGATGTTTCGAGAGACGCTCGCAGCGATTCACCGGTTTCAAACAGGTGAAACATCACGCGGGCGTTGCTTTGTGTTTCCCGGTAAGAATCGCTATACGTAGGGCTAGGCCAGGCCAAGGATGGCGACGGCTGGACTTGCATCGCCGCAGGCTCAACCCCGTCGCCAGGCGCCCCGCGCTCACGCACGCGGCGCAAGGTTCGTCCACCTCACGCGCCGACCACGCTCTCACCTGTTCCAGGCCGCCGGAGCTGCCCACGTGGTTGAGGTGATTGATCAGGAAAGAGAGGGGTTTGAGCGACGTCTCGCGCGCAAACATGAGCGTGGCGAAGAGCGGCACGTCCTCCCCACGCTGCTGCATTTCATAGAGGTCCACCGCCTTCCACAGCATGAGCAGCTTCACAGCCTCATAAAGGCGCCACTCAGTCACGCCCAGCTGGTTGAAGAGATCCTTACAAAAGTTCTCCGCGTTGGCCGCCTCAAATGTGCATGCCTTCAGCCACTGCAGGTCATCATTGTGCACAGACGAAGGGTAATATGAGAAAACACATCAACTGCTTTAATCAGAGAACGAGCCTAAACTGCTTAATGGAAATTAATTCACACGTGTAAATGTCACTAGCTTGTGTATACTTCAATAATTCGATGTCATTAACTGAAAAAAACCTTCAGCGTAATGCATTGTAAAAAAAAAAAATCTCAACATAGATTAAACAAAAACTCCAAAGACCGTATACAGTGACAGAGTGAAAGGGATTGTCAGGAGTCCTACCTCATTCTCTAGGTTTTGCAAGCAGATAACCAAGCTCGCCTGGTTGCACCTGCCCTTGACTTCACGATTAGCAAAGGTCCAATTTTCAATGAGCCCTTTGTTTCTCTGATATAATACATGTGGAAGCTGAAAAAACAAAACCACACGGCATTCAGACTGGGGTTTTGGATAGACACGAAACAATGTCCACTCCAGGCCACGTGCGCAGTTTTACCCACCTCGGTTATCTTCACCGTGGAGTCAAATATGTAAATTTTTTTCCAAAAAGCCTGAAAGAGCGTGGCCCTCAGCCCACAGTAGTTGTCTCCCCTCACTCTCCGTATGTCAAAGTAGCCTTTGCCCGACAGCTCCAGGTACGCCTGCATGGGTGAGAAACATCACGACACTAGGATGGTTATTACAGGACTTGCCTGAAAGACTTCAACGAAAACTCATAAATCGGAGAGGAAAATGAGCATGTGCCATCTGCGTCCGTGCGTGCACCTTTTTAATCTTTTTGGTTTTAGCCGTGGACCCTTTCCATTCCCGGCACGAATAATCAACCAATTCTCTCCTTTCTCCAATCGGCATTTTGTCTGGGGGATAATTCACGTTAATGTGATTAAAACAACAGCGCACGTTCAAGCATACACCTAGCGACAAAATCAATGCACATGTCTGGGTTGCTCGCACGATATCTCTGCGAGGAAATGTTTCAACAGAGGCTGCAAACAAATTCCCCTCGGCTTCTTGGGACGCTTTTCGATCATTCACAATGAACAGCATAATCATCCTCTCCGATGGGGACGGCGCACCCATCGATGACCCTGCCGCGGAGGCCGCGGCACAAGCGGCGTAGCACGGCAAGGAGGGATCAGTAGTGGCCGAAGTAATTCACCGTTTTAACTGTGTGCCAGAATCACCCGGCAGATGTCGGCTTGCGTGCATAGATGGGTGGCAGAAATAATTTAAACCATTATTTACCAACCCTCGTTTTACCATTGTTTTGATGTACCTCCAGCAATACAATAGGTACATCACTAAAAACAATTCTTCAATTAAACTGGTCATGAGGATGGCAATTACCTATTGTACCTTCACTCCGATACATATCTTCCTCCCTTGAAGAAACATAAAACACAGCAACATTAAAACAATTCAAAAGCACAACATATTTTAATAAGGCAATACCAAATTATTAACAGGCCATTGTTAACTCACTTCTGGATTAAGGGCTCCCAACGCCACATCGATTATAGGGATTGTTTTACTAAGCTTCATCATGCTGCTCAGTGCAGCGATTGTAAAGGTGGCCCACACCAGTTCATACATCACGTGCTTTGATATTAGCCATAGCTGGGAGACAAACTCACCACTCTACACGTTCCAAATAATTTAGTTGGAGATTTTTTAAATTGAATAATGTACATTATGTTTAAAAACAAAGTGTGATTACAAAATAAATAAATAATCGGTTTGGGGATTGTCCTTTACAATCTACTCAATCTCATTACGAATTTCACATTTGGGCTTTTCCACATCTATATGCCATATTCCTTCTTTTGAAAAGGGGTAGTCAATATTTTCATGCCTTTGCTGGCTGTGAATTCTCAAAGGCACTCTCTCTAATTCCTCACGAACGATAAACTAACCAATCTTATTGCCTCTGCATATTTTATTTGCGTTTTTATTAGACACCCATTACGATGTTATAAGTCACTTTATCTTGATTTAGTCGGGGATACTCTATTTATACATTTCGCGCATTTTATCATCATATCATTGTCGCGGCAAATTCAAAGCAACATGTGATCACAATCTAGTGCGATTCAAGTTGCCCTTCAACACTAGGCAAAGAGAGGTAAAAGCTAATTATCGCCAATAGTGTACATAGTTAACATCACAATGTAGATCAGAAGTTAATTTATTTTAGACTACCTGAAAATAACAAAGGTTAAAATGTCTTCGAGAAGCAAACCCGATGAAACGAATGTCACCACTGTCATGGTAGCCTAATAATGTAATAGATTGCACACTGGCATATGAATGTCATGGACTGTGAATTGAAAGTGGTGGGAAAGGTTGAAATCAGAGAAAACATTGAGAAAAGAAGAGTCATACGCTGAAAAGTTTGCAATAAAAACATGTATACGCATGCTTGAAATTACCGTGAGAGACAGAAAGAGGGACAGATGGGTGAGAAAATATGCTGTGTGAGACACAGTGATTGCCAAGTAAAGTCGGAAGCGATGATGACCGGCGGTGTAGCTTAATGACGGAGTGACAGCCAAAGGTGAGAACACGCTCGAGAGTACAGTAGCCACGGAGAAAAGAAGAATGAAATCGGCTCTTGTGCAGCTGCTAGATAGATGGTCACATTGAAGGTTCGTGGGTGATGGCACACATTAATAGTCAGAGACAGAGCTCACAACTCACTGGTGGGAGAGGCTCTGAACTAAACCACAACTCTCGCCTTGGTCGTCCGTGTGAGGCCTGTTTCCCCCGCCGTGCTGCGGCCTGCCGGCGGTGTCTTTCCACCTTTCCGACAAATGCTGTCTTTCCCTCTTCTTAAGAGAATCTTCTTGGGGATCCAAGTCTTTGGGGACTTTGGCAGCATTGCCCAGGGGGTGGAGTTCACCTTTGCCGCCCTTTTTTCCAATCTCGCGTTCACCACTGTGGTCAATGTTTTGTATTAAAATAAAATAATATTGTTGGTACCATTTTTGTATATCACCTTTGTGCTGATGCACCACTTCCAATGCAATTCATTATAATTGCTGTCGATGGAAAATATTGCTTTTTATTTTTTTGTTTAAATACCTTTAAAAGAAAAGGTGTAACGAGTGAGATTCTGTCTTAACAAATTAAACTTTGGGTACACAACTTCAAATAAATGAGAACAGCATGTGCTTGATTACATCAGTAATAATGCGTTCAATGCTGAGCAGCAAAGTTTTGTTTGTTATTCCAATGTAATAAGTAGTGCATCTTAAAGAGTGTTAAATTATTTGGACCTATCATATTAAACAATAAATCACGATGAATATGAAACATCTCCCGGTTCCGGCTCCAAAGCACACGCAAAGCATCTCGGACGGTCCGTCTGCTCAGCGATTGAAATTAAAGACTCGTCGACTGAAATTAAAGAGAGTGCAATTGTTTCCAACACTAACAGTACGAGCGTGTATGCAAGGTGTTTGTTTTTACCTTTGGTGGATTTTTTCGAAATTGTCGCCAAAACCTTTGCTCGCAATGCAGCCAGTGAACGACTGACCCATCTCCGGCTCACCTCCCGCCTCGGCCCGATTCTCAGTGCTCAAGTCGTGTGTGCCTGCGTCTTCTTTCAAATCGCTCTCTTCGGGTTGGCTTCCAGAGGCAATATTCTCATTGCTGTTAACGTAACTCTTGCTTTCAGTGAGGAGGCACTGCTGCCTCGAGTTTTTGGGGGTAAGGTCGCCCTGTTCTTCTTCCGTGCCACAGTCTTTACAGGCAATGCTCAGCCTGTCAGAATGGTTGTTGCTAACCGCTGTGTCACTTAAATCACCAACAACATTTGGAGGTATCACTTCTGACTTAAGGTCAACTTCCGAGCTATCAAAGGTCTTCCTGGCCCCAACCTTGCCTCCGAGGCTGGAGTTTTCATCAACACTTGCCATTACTTGAGTCACCACCTGCAGCCAAAAGACACACACATCAGTGATACTGAACCAAAAGTGATTGTAATTTAATCTACTCAGCTCTACCTGCCAACTGTGTCAGACAAGTGAACGGCTCCTTCATTTCACTAAAATCGCCAACACATCTTTATCCCCCCATGAAGTTAAAAGGTTCACAGAACTATGAAAATGATTGGATGTATTAAGCAACATGTGTAAAACTGAGCATTCAGAAATCTATTCACAAACATCAGAGGATATTCGTGCATTTTAGAACATTAACCACCTTCACGTTGGCACCATAGCCACGAGCACAACTCCACCTCACCCGTGAACACCAAGCTGACCCCAGATGTATGTTCACTACAGCACTCACTCACCCTTACACACAAATAACATGTGTTCACTACAGCACTCACCCTTACACACGAATAGCGTGTTCACTACAGCACTCACTCACCCTTACACACGAATAACATGTGTTCACTACAGCACTCACCCTTACACACGAATAACATGTGTTCACTACAGCACTCACTCACCCTTACACGCGAATAACATGTGATCACTACAACACCCACTCACTCTTACACACGAATAACATGTGATCACTACAGGGCTCACTCACCCTTATTACCTGTGATCACTACAACACTAATCCCCTATTACCTGTGATCACTACAGCACTAATCCCCTATTACTTGTGATCACAACACTAATCCCCTATTACCTGTGATCACTACAACACTAATCCCCTATTACCTGTGTTCACTACAGCACTCACCCCTTATTACCTGTGATCACTACAACACTAATCCCCTATTACCTGTGATCACTACAGCACTAATCCCCTATTACTTGTGATCACAACACTAATCCCCTATTACCTGTGATCACTACAACACTAATCCCCTATTACTTGTGATCACTACAGCACTCATCCCCTATTACCTGTGATCACTACAGCACTAATCCCCTATTACCTGTGCTCACTACACCACTAATCCCCTATTACCTGTGCTCACTACACCACAAACCCCCTATTACCTGTGATCACTACAACACTAATCCACTATTACCTGTGATCACTACAGCACTAATCCCCTATTACCTGTGATCACTACAGCACTAATCCCCTATTACCTGTGATCAGTACAACACTAATCCCCTATTACATGTGATCACTACAACACTAATCCCCTATTACCTGTGATCACTACAGCACTAATCCCCTATTACCTGTGATCACTACAACACTAACCCCCTATTACCTGTGATCACTACAACACTAATCCCCTATTACCTGTGATCACTACAACACTAATATCCTATTACCTGTGATCACTCCAACACTAATCCCCTATTACCTGTGATCACTACAACACTAATCTCCTATTACCTGTGATCACTACAGCACTCACCCCCTATTACCTGTGATCACTACAGCACTCATCCCCTATTACCTGTGATCACTACAACACTAATCCCCTATTACCTGTGATCACTACAACACTAATCCCCTATTACCTGTGATCATTACAACACTAATCCCCTATTACCTGTGATCACTACAGCACTCACCCCCTATTACCTGTGATCACTACAACACGAATCCCCTATTACCTGTGATGACTACAGCACTCACCCCCTATTACCTGTGATCACTACAACACTAATCCCCTATTACCTGTGATCACTACAACACATCCCCTATTACCTGTGATCACTACAGCACTCACCCTTACACACGAATAACATGTGTTCACTACAGCACTCACTCACCATTACACACGAATAACATGTGTTCACTACAGGACTCACCCACTCACTCTTACACACGAATAACATGTGTTCACTACAGCACTCACTCACCATTACACACGAATAACATGTGATCACTACAGCACTCACCACTACACACGAATAACATGTGTTCACTACAGCACTCACTCACCATTACACACGAATAACATGTGTTCACTACAGGACTCACCCACTCACCATTACACACGAATAACATGTGATCACTACACTACTCACCCTTACACACAAATAACATGTGTTCACTACAGGACTAACTCACCATTACACACGAATAACATGTGTTCACTACAGGACTCACTCACCATTACACACGAATAACATGTGTTTACTACAGGACTCACCCACTCACTCTTACACACGAATAACATGTGATCACAGCACTCACTCACTCACCCTTACACACGAATAACATGTGTTCACTACAGGACTCACCCACTCACTCTTACACACGAATAACATGTGATCACTACAGCACTCGCCATTACACACGAAAAACATGTGTTCACTACAGTACTCACACCCTTACACACGAATAACATGTGTTCACTACAGGACTCACCCACTCACTCTTACACACGAATAACATGTGTTCACTACAGGACTCACCCACTCACCCTTACACGCGAATAACATGTGTTCACTACAGCACTCACCATTACACACGAAAAACATGTGCTCACTACAGTACTCACTCACCCTTACACACGAATAACATGTGTTCACTACAGGGCTCACTCACCCTTACACACGAATAAAATGTGTTCACTACAGCACTCACTCACTAACCCTTACACACAAATAACATGTGTTCACTACAGGGCTCACTCACCCTTACACACGAATAAAATGTGTTCACTACAGCACTCACTCACTAACCCTTACACACAAATAACATGTGTTCACTACAGCACTCACCCCTTATTACCTGTGATCACTACAACACTAATCCCCTATTACCTGTGATCACTACAGCACTAATCCCCTATTACTTGTGATCACAACACTAATCCCCTATTACCTGTGATCACTAAAACACTAATCTCCTATTACCTGTGATCACTACAGCACTCACCCCCTATTACCTGTGATCACTACAGCACACATCTCCTATTACCTGTGATCACTACAACACTAATCTCCTATTACCTGTGATCACTACAACACTAATCCCCTATTACTTGTGATCACTACAGCACTCATCCCCTATTACCTGTGATCACTACAACACTAACCCCCTATTACCCGTGATCACTACAGCACTAATCCCCTATTACCTGTGCTCACTACACCACAAACCCCCTATTACCTGTGATCACTACAACACTAATCCCCTATTACCTGTGATCACTACAGCACTAATCCCCTATTACCTGTGATCACTACAGCACTAATCCCCTATTACCTGTGATCAGTACAACACTAATCCCCTATTACATGTGATCACTACAACACTAATCCCCTATTACCTATGATCACTACAGCACTAATCCCCTATTACCTGTGATCACTACAACACTAACCCCCTATTACCTGTGATCACTACAACACTAATCCCCTATTACCTGTGATCACTACAGCACTAATCCCCTATTACCTGTGATCACTACAACACTAACCCCCTATTACCTGTGATCACTACAACACTAATCCCCTATTACCTGTGATCACTACAACACTAATATCCTATTACCTGTGATCACTCCAACACTAATCCCCTATTACCTGTGATCACTACAACACTAATCTCCTATTACCTGTGATCACTACAGCATTCACCCCCTATTACCTGTGATCACTACAACACTAATCCCCTATTACCTGTGATCACTACAACACTAATCCCCTATTACCTGTGATCACTACAGCACTCACCCCCTATTACCTGTGATCACTACAACACTAATCCCCTATTACCTGTGATCACTACAGCACTAATCCCCTATTACCTGTGATCACTACAGCACTAATCCCCTATTACCTGTGATCACTACAACACTAATCTCCTATTCCCTGTGATCACTACAGCACTCACCTCCTATTACCTGTGATCACTACAACACATCCCCTATTATCTGTGATCACTACAGCACTCACCCCCTATTACCTGTGATCACTACAACACTAATCTCCTATTACCTGTGATCACTACAGCACTCACCCCCTATTACCTGTGATCACTACAACACTAATCCCCTATTACCTGTGATCATTACAACACTAATCCCCTATTACCTGTGATCACTACAGCACTCACCCCCTATTACCTGTGATCACTACAACACGAATCCCCTATTACCTGTGATGACTACAGCACTCACCCCCTATTACCTGTGATCACTACAACACTAATCCCCTATTACCTGTGATCACTACAACACATCCCCTATTACCTGTGATCACTACAACACATCCCCTATTACCTGTGATCACTACAGCACTCACCCCCTATTACCTGTGATCACTACAACACTAATCCCCTATTACCTGTGATCACAACACTAATCCCCTATTACCTGTGATCACTACAACACTAATCTCCTATTCCCTGTGATCACTACAGCACTCACCCCCTATTACCTGTGATCACTACAACACTAATCCCCTATTACCTGTGATCACTACAACACTAATCCCCTATTACCTGTGATCACTACAACACATCCCCTATTACCTGTGATCACTACAACACATCCCCTATTACCTGTGATCACTACAACACATCCCCTATTACCTGTGATCACTACAGCACTCACCCCCTATTACCTGTGATCACTACAACACTAATCTCCTATTAGCTGTGATCACTACAGCACTCACCCCCTATTACCTGTGATCACTACAACACTAATCCCCTATTACCTGTGATCACTACAACACTAATCCCCTATTACCTGTGATCACTACAGCACTCACCCCCTATTACCTGTGATCACTACAACACTAATCCCCTATTACCTGTGATCACTACAACACTAATCTCCTATCACCTGTGATCACTACAGCACTCACCCCCTATTACCTGTGATCACTACAACACTAATCCCCTATTACCTGTGATCACTACAACACTAATCCCCTATTACCTCTGATCACTACAACACTAATCTCCTATTCCCTGTGATCACTACAGCACTCACCCCCTATTACCTGTGATCACTACAACACTAATCCCCTATTACCTGTGATCACAACACTAATCCCCTATTACCTGTGATCACTACAACACATCCCCTATTACCTGTGATCACTACAACACTAATCTCCTATTAGCTGTGATCACTACAGCACTCACCCCCTATTACCTGTGATCACTACAACACTAATCCCCTATTACCTGTGATCACTACAACACTAATCCCCTATTACCTGTGATCACTACAACACTAATCCCCTATTACCTGTGATCACTACAACACTAATCCCCTATTACCTGTGATCACTACAGCACTCACCCCCTATTACCTGTGATCACTACAACACTAATCCCCTATTACCTGTGATCACTACAACACTCATCCCCTATTACCTGTGATCACTACAACACTAATCCCCTATTACCTGTGATCACTACAACACTAATCCCCTATTACCTGTGATCACTACAACACTAATCCCCTATTACCTGTGATCACTACAGCACTCACCCCCTATTACCTGTGATCACTACAACACTAATCCCCTATTACCTGTGATCACTACAACACTCATCCCCTATTACCTGTGATCACTACAACACTAATCCCCTATTACCTGTGATCACTACAACACTCATCCCCTATTACCTGTGATCACTACAACACTAATCCCCTATTACCTGTGATCACTACAGCACTAATCCCCTATTACCTGTGATCACTACAACACTAATCCCCTATTACCTGTGATCACTACAGCACTAATCCCCTATTACCTGTGATCACTACAACACTAATCCCCTATTACCTGTGATCACTACAGCACTCACCCCCTCACCCATTGAGAGGCCTAGTCGGGGCCGAGGAAGGGAACTCGCCCTGGCGTTTAGGCCCTTGGGGATGAGAGTTGAGGGCGGCGGAGGGCAAGTGCAGGGAGGGCAGTGCAGAGGAGCGAGGGGGAATCGAGGACAGTTCAGAAGGAACAAGGGGCAGGCAGGGGCAGGCAGGGCCGGCAGGGCCGGCAGGGCCGGCAGGGGCAGGCAGGGCCGGCTGGGGCAGGCACGGGCAGGCAGGGGCAGCGCGGGGGCAGGCAGGGGCAGCGCGGGGGTCCGCCTTGCAGGTCGGAGACGATTCAACGAGGGCAAAGGGTCTGGGCAGTGGGAGGGACACAGATAGGCGAGACGAGTGAGGAGGGTGTGGTGGCGATCAGTCAAGGGGCAGAGAGGGGTCAGCGAGGGGGCAGCGATAGGGCAGCGAGGGGGGCAGCGAGGGGTCAGCGAGGGGGTCACCGAGGGGGTCAGCGAGGGGGTCAGCGAGGGGACAGCGAGGGGGACAGCGGGAGCCGCGTCACTCACCGCCAGGAAATCATCGCGACGCCACCGCCGCCTCCTCTCACCCGGAAGCACTGCGCGCAGCGGTCACGTGGCGCGCGTTGGCGGTGACGTCACGGCGGCCCGGCGCGCGAGGGAGGCGGGAATCCGATGAGCTGTGAAGCTCTTTTCTCGTTTTCTTTGTCTCTCCTTCACAGACATGGGCCACACACACACACCACCACCACCGCCACCTCCAAGCGCGCTTATACAAAGTGTAATTTACTTATTTTGTTCAGGAAGAAGGCTCACTGATTCGTTACTAATTTTTTCTTTTCTTTAATTAAAAAAAAATGTCCGGACAATGAATGACGAGTGGCGTTTGTTGTACCACGTGTGAGTGGGAAACCGGAGGGCAACACTCGATCCCCGTACCGATGGGCACAGATGGAGATTAGTCCACTTTGCTGTACCGCCTTCTCCTGGTGAGCCAGGGGCAATGGGCACCTCCTCGGCGCCTACGGGACGGGAGTTTGGCAACATCCACCAACCCCTCGTTGCCTCCACAGTGCTGGGTTACAGGCCACGTGATGACTTTCAAATCACGTCCCCGAATGCGCTGCAGCTGCACCTCCGCAACAACTCTTCAATTGAATGTCGCGAGCGAATGCGTTGCCTCGTTCAAAATCACGCTGGTGTTGAACGGCCCAGAATACACAGCCTATCCACGCAGCTATATATAAAGGAGCTTAATAGCTCATCGGATTCCTCCAGAATAAATACATATTTTTGATTCCGTTATCTTCAGTTGGCCTGCCAGGGCAGACTTTCTATGGCGAAAGGGCTTCACAGGAGACCATTAATATCGAGTAGAGGAGACCGCACCACAACGCCACGCCTCGCCGTGCACGGAACAGCAGCCCCCTTGCCTCACGACATCAGAGCCTGAAATCCCCTCCATCCCTCAGCCAGCCCCACCCCCACTTGTATCATGCAGCAGCAATAATTAGTCGTAGAGTAATTAATACTCAATACACAAACACCGCTGTCAAAGCCCGAGCCACTATTCACAACACCCACGATGCCACTAACCCCGCTCGTAAGCTCTGTCTCTGACCATTGATGTGTGCCATCACCCACGAGCCTTCGATGTGACCGTCTGTCAAGCAGCTGCACAAGAGCCGATTTCGTTTTTATTTTCTCCGTGGTAACTGTACTCTCGAGCGCCTTCTCACCTTTGTCTGTCACTCCGTCATTAAGCTCCACCGCGGGTCATCATCGCTTCCGACTTTACTTGGCAATCACTGTGTCTCGCACAGCGTATTTTTCTCACCCATCTGTCCCTCTTTCTGTCTCTCACGCTCTAATTTCAAGCATGCGTACACATTTTTTTACTATTGCGCACGAGTCGAAAACGAGCACGCGACGTTTTATAATCGGTGACAACATCCAGATTTTGTGGGGGGGTTCCCCCCCCCACCCCATTTACTTCGGGACAGACACGAACATTTCAAAGCAGCGACGCTTGGAAGCTTTATTATCGGTTGAATTCTTCAAACAAACAAAAAAACCACACACACACACGCGCGAAAAAAGTTGCGTTGGGGAAAACAACAGCGGTGGAATATTACCGGCAAATCGCGCGGAAACTCCGGAAGGATTTTATTCTGCAAGGATTGTTGCTCGCCACTCGCCTCGGGTGCGGAGACGCTGACCCCGTGACTGTTGCGCGTCGCTCACCATGAGAGGCGACGCGGATTGTTCGTCGGTGAACGTCGTCGAGTGCACAACGCTTCAGCACGCTGTCGAATGGCCACACCTTGCGGGTGGCAGAGGTTGCTTTGACCATACTTCGCCGCGCTGGTCACTGCGGGTTGGTGAAGGCGAGGAGCATAGACGAAGAGTGGGGGGGGGGGGGGCGTGCACGTACAGTACAACAATCAACTGTCCTCTGCTGCCCAGCCTATAACGCCTGTTACACACGGTGTTCGCTCGGCCAAGCACTGTCCAGGCCCATAGTCTGCTTAGCCTCCGAGATTTGGCAATATCCGGCGTGTTCTCGGTGAATTGGTGACATTAATTCAATGGAATCTGGATGTTCAGTGTTATATACACACACACACATTTTATGTATTTCTTTTCAGAGACTTGCTGACCTTTTCTTTACATCGCACTCGTGTTGTGCATTGTTTGTTCGCTGTAACTGTCTCACCCGCTCCTTATGGACATCTGTGAACAAAATATCTTCATAGCTCATCGGATTCCTCCCGGATAAATGAAGATTCTAATTCTGCTGTGATGATTGCAATCCGCGGGGAAGGGCGTTATAAAGGTGAACCGGGGAGCTGTCACCGCTCGGCGGCAGGGGTTACGTCACTAAGCCGGTACCGCTGTGAACTGTATTCAAATCTGGGGTTCAGTCCCTCGCCTTGTGAATACAGTTCACCGGAGTTTCCACGGGCAAGCGAGTCGATGGACGGACGCCTCATCACAAACGACCGCACTCAACGAGAAGACACCGCCCTGCCACCCCCATCGCGTTCGGTGGTTCGCTTCACGTGGCAACAACAATAACAACAACAAAAATTCCAACCACGTCAGTGCGACGATAAATCTGTACGGGCGGCGATGGCAAGTGCAGTGAACCCCCCCCCACCGCCCCAGTGTGAATGTGTCGGCTACTTGCAGGGGGTGATCGCAGAAGCAGAACTGTGACATCACCTCCTTGAGCGGACCGTTTCTACAAACGCAGGCTACAACGCGCTGCTTTGCGAGAGATCCCAACGACCAGCGTCAGTGAATATAACGCCGCGAATAATTGTTTGAGTTTTTTTTTGTTTTATACGATCACCAAACCGTTGGACGTGGCCTGCAGGGTGGGTGGGCGCTCACGCGGGGAGGGGAGAGGTGGTGCAGTCGCTGTCCGCCGACGTGGGGGTGCTGAAGACTCGACCGAGCGGGCCACACGGAGCGAACGCGGGTGACTGTCGGTCAAGCCGTCAGAACCGTGGGCCCAGCGGCAACACCTTCAGCGTTACGCGTTGCAGTCACGAGGCCGGTGTTTTGTCAGGTGAGCGAGTCATGATTTCGGCAATTTGTTCGCGAACGTTGTTTGTTGTTGTTGTTGTCGTCGTCGTTGTTGAACACAACACGGGGGGAATCGAACATGAGAGCGTGCGGCAAGGGATGCGTGCATGTGGCACTCGTGCTGCCTACGTGCACGCGCGCACGTGTGTATGTCTTTTATGATTTAAGCCGTTCGTAAACCTGCGTGCCAAGACGCTGCTGTTGCTGGGGTTCGGTGCGCTGTGCTTTTGCTCCGGCTAATGGAGCCGCAGTCCGAGCTCGTGATTACCCCTTTACGATAGTGCTGCTGTTGCCCGCGCGGCTCGGCCGTCCATTGCGCAGCACCGAGAAAGGGGCGAGGGGAGGGTGGGTAAGGGGGGGGGGGGACACGCCTGGGACGGCCCCTGTGCTGGCCAGCAACCCCATCGGCTCCCCCTTCTCATCTTGCTCCTCCACGCTCACCTCCCCCCCGCGGCTCCTCCGTTCACGAGGCGAGAGGGAGCGGCCGCGAGGCGGCGAGCGCAGGGAGATGGAGGCTGAAGGATTCTGATTTGGGGCTGAGCGGAGGCGCAGCCGCGAGGTGAGGGGAAGAGAGGAGGGGACGGACGGGGAGAGCGAAGGGGCTCTTCGCCGGCACAGGCGGGGGAGGACTGCGCAGCGAGCACGCACAGAGACGCCCCCGAAGGAGCGCGGCGGTACGTGTGGGGCTGTACGTGTGGGTAGGTACGTGTGGGGCGGTACGTGTGGGTTGGTACGTGTGGGGCTGTACGTGTGGGGTGGTACGTGTGGGGCTGTACGTGTGGGTTGGTACGTGTGGGGCGGTACGTGTGGGGCTGTACGCGCGGGGCGGTACGTGTGGGGTGGTACGTGTGGGGCGGTACGTGTGGGGCTATACGTGTGGGGTGGTACGTGTGGGGCGGTACGTGTGGGGTGGTACGTGTGGGGCGGTACGTGTGGGGTGGTACGTGTGGGGCGGTACGTGTGGGGCTGTACGTGTGGGCGACTCGTAGAGGGAAATGGAGGCTGTGTTTGGCCATCGCGTCGGTTGTCGGAGTGCGTTGGCCGTGTCGGGCTTGTTCTATTATATATACGAACTCGGCTCGCCTTGATGCATTAGGCTCTCGTTCTCAGTTCCGCCCTCGGGGCAGGGATCTGGATATGTGCTCTGTGGAGGGGGTGGGGGGGTGGCTCATATGCGTAGGGGTCAAATGCATAAGGCCGATGGAAATGAAATCTCATCGCGAGAGTCCCGGCAAGGGAGCCGAGATGATGAATTGCGCTGTGTCCCCGCAGAGCCCGGCCGCTCGGGTAGTGTGCGCGCCTCCTTTGCGTTTGCCGTGCGTGCACCGCCCACGTACGACACGGACATCATCGTCGGACTTCCGTGCGGTTGCCGGATGACGTTTAATTCAATATCGTGCCTCGCAAAGGCATCCATCATGTTGCCGTGATGCGTAAGGAGGGGGTTTGGGGTCATTGGCCCCCTGCCTCCATTTTGCTGGTCCTCTCTGCGAGTCTACGAATGACGTCGCCAAACTGACTTGGGTTCGGGCTCCGCGCGTGGTCGTATCCCGTTTTTTTTTTCTTCCCGTGGGACGATGCTCATGCCCAACGTTGACTGCGCGACGCTTATCACGCCGCCGTCCACCATGAGCTGCGGCAGATTGCATTGCGCTCTGCCCGCTCTCGCGCTACAGTGGGCAATCTCGCCACGACCGAGCAGCCAAGGAGCACGCTGTTTCGTTCGCTCCGCGGCGTGCGTGCGAGCCGGTTGCGAGCAGGTGCAGGTCCCGCGATGGTCGCTCGAGAGCGCTTTCAATTAGTGCGCTTTGTTTGCTCGAGGAACGCGGCAGTAATGAGCGCGGGCACCTACGCCCACCGAGTACTCAGGAGCGCTGTGAGCAGAGGCGTGGGTGGGGGCCACACGAATGGAATGGATTCGAACGAAAACACCGGCCTAGAAAAAGCACAAAAAAACACATCTTGCGATCGCCGGTTACGATGTTTTAACTGCTCTGATGATTTTTCCTCAACATCCGTTCAATGAGCAGCCTCACAATTGGCTGTCAAAACGACACCGGCTCCAGTGCACGCGGCTCCCCAGCACTGCCCAGATTTCAGATTCTGTCTCCAGACGTTTGTTGCGTTTAACACTCTCATGTATCTTAACGTAGAAGGTTGGCATACACGGGGAACTAAATCATGGGTATATGAGACAGGATGAGAGGAGGTGCTGTATATAAGATGGAATTATCTGATAATCATTGCAGTGAAACATGGCAATCATGGTGCATCGTCAGGTTCACTCACTTTACAATTTTATACAGCGGCTCAACTCATCACGCCATACCCCGAGGGTACACGTGTTAATTTCAATGCGTGCATCGAGGAAACGGGCGAGGAAGTGATTGGTGTAGGATTTCATTCGGCTGATGCTCTGTGTGCCTGGCTAGTGGGGGGTGGGGGGAGGCAGCGTTTGTCCTGCGTGGTAATGGGGTCAGCTGATTGCCTGCCTCTGCGAGAGACGGCACAGTGGGTGCTGTGTCACTCATACACCGGTGTTCTGACGTCGGATGGCGGTGTAGGCACGGAGCTGTCCGAGGCTGCTGTAGTGTCGTGGTCGTTATGGATTTAATAATGTCCGGTTGGGAGACCGTAAAACGGAATCGCCTTTATTTATGCTTAGCTCCAGTGGAGAATGACTCACATTGTCCTGCTGTGAGATGGAAATAACGGGCGATAATGCAAAGATAAGGCTGGCACAAGATACTCGCGTGACAGGCTTTCACTCAATGTGACTCAAACAAACAAATACAGCAATCTGCTTATACAAATACAACTGATTAATGCAGCATTTTTTTGTTACCAATAACTCAATACAGTTTCACCAGGACTGTGCCTCTCCTGTATTGGTACCATTAGCATTCATCAGTATTCATCAATAATGGAATTTTAAACTATATTCCCGTGGAAGTTCACACTGGGAGCAGTGATTCGAGCGGTGTGTCGGCGCTGCATGGACACGCGGCTGCTGCTGCTGCTCGTGCGTGCACTTTATCCGAAATACAAACTAACAAATGTAACAATTATACTGAGCTCATGTATCCTTTCCCCGCCCATTAAACCAACCTTACAGCTGGCAGTGTGTTTAAATATTAAATCCTAAACCTACAAACACATTAATTTCTACACAGTTTTAAAGGCCCACACTTCATTCACCCCGTATCACATTGCTCTAAGTAATCCGCAGTGTCAACTGCGGTAACGAGTGAAGGTTTCACTCCACGTGTGTTACAATCTCAGACCGGTATTGATTTGGTTAAAAGGGGTAAAGATGCGGCCCTGCAATCTACGCGCACGTACCACTGCTCGCATAAGGGCCTCGACAACGAGGGGGTTCAAGGGAGCCCCTATGGATGGTATTTGGCCTCCTCTTCCATGCTGGCCTCTTCGAAGAGTCAGGCGTACCCACACTTTACTCCATCGCGCATTTCCGATAATCGCGGTTGGCCACGTACGCTGCGAAATAAATTCAGCATACATACGTACAACATACGCGGACCTATCGATCCACCGTCGTGTATCCGTTTATACCGCTGGATAGACAGAGGAGAGGGGATTTAAGAAACGTCGTCGCCGTTGCCTTGACTGCTGCGTCGGAAGATCGACTCCCACCGGCGACCAGCGTCGCTAAGCGTGACCGTCGTGACAGCTGTCCCGTCGGTCCGGTTTCGCGTGCTGCGTGTGGACGGTGCCACTGCTCGACATGGCGAGGAGGGAGGCCGGGCGGTTGGCACGGTGGTTCCGTAGAAGACCGCTTCGGCGCAATTCCGCGACCAAAGCGAGAACTTTATTGCGGTCCGCACAAAAAGGACCAGCGGACCTTCGCGGAGGCTGCTGCGTCGCTTCTCGCCAAGGAGACGTAAACCACCATCACGCGGTAGCTTCGGTCATCCTCAGCAGCGGTGGCTTTTTGTGTCACCATCGAACAAAGGCGGGTGGTCACCGCACCGCGCGCGTTCAGATGCGCGGCTTCCGCGGCCGTCTGGAACGCTCTTATTCCTTCCGATATTAGGAAGCCACTGGGAACTACGCGTTTTTAAATTACTCAGATTGACAAACGCATCTCTTTAGAACTGCTTTTTTGTGTTTAGTGTGTTGTCCTTGCCGAGGCACCTCCGATTCGCGCGGTTGACTCTTGCGCGCTGCGAAAGAGGTCCATCAGTTCCACTGCTGGATTATTGTTTCCCGCCCGAGGCCGACCGCTTGTGTTTGCGATCGAAACGTCGTGATATATATTTTTCTTTATTTTTCAACCTACGTGACTTTACCGAAAGAACCAAAGAGTATGGTTCAACGTACACACACGTACAATCATCGCATAACGTGCCCTGTGTCTCGACAGCTGGGCACACATGCAGGCCAGTCCCGCGGCCGTGGCAGGGGCCGAGGCCGGAGCCGGGGTGGTGCTGCGCGCCCCGAGGGACGCGCAGGAGACGGTGCGGGCCTCCCTCATCCTCGCCTCCGTCAAGGAGCAGGTGGGGGACTCCTCGCGCGCGCGCGACCCCAGTCGGTGTGCTGACTCGTGAGCCGCAGGGCGAGCGCAGCTTGATGTTGTTGTTGTGTGTTGTTGTTGTTGTGTTGTTGTGCGTGTTGTTGTGTGTCCGGGCGTGGTGCTGGCCACCCACCCCATCGTGTGCGGTGCCGGCCTTCATAGGTACTCGCGAAAAGCACTTGCCCCAACAGCCTGTTAAGACTATACGGGGGGTCTTTGTTGTTGCTGTGTGTGTCACGGTAGTGTAGCGTGTCCGGCCTTCATAGGTGCTAGATAACAGCACTTGCCCCAACAGTCTAGTAAGGCTATACGGGAGATCTTTGTCTTGTTGTTGTTGTTGTTGATTGTGTGTGTGGCGGGTGCAGCTTGTGGTTGCGTCTACGTTGTGTTTTTTGTACAGCTTGGGAGTTTCTGCTGTGTTTTTGTGCGTGTTGTGTCTTATTAAATGCTGTGTGTAGTGTGTGTGCACCCTACGTGTGTGTGTTGTGTGTTATAAGTGGTATCGTGCACTTTGTGTTTTTTGTGTACGTTATGTACGGTGTGGGCGCAGCCTGTGTGTGTGTTCTTGTGTATGTGCTATGTACAACTTGTGTGCAGCCTGTGTATGTGTGTGTGTTCTTGTGTATGTGCTATGTACAACTTGTGCGCAGCCTGTGTGTTTGTGTTTGTGTTCTTGTGTTTGTGCTATGCACAAATTGCGCGCAGCCTGTGTGTTTGTGTGTTCTTGTGTATGTGATATGTACACCTTGTGCGCAGCCTGTGTGTTTGTGTGTTCTTGTGTATGTGCTATGTACAACTTGTGCGCAGCCTGTGTATGTGCGTGTGTTCTTGTGTATGTGCTATGTACAACTTGTGCGCAGCCTGTGTATTTGTGTTTGTGTGATGCACAACTTGTGCGGAATCTGTGTGTTTGTGTGTTCTTGTGTATGTGCTATGTACAACTTGTGCGTAGCCTGTGTATGTGTGTGTGTTCTTGTGTATGTGTGATGCACAAATTGTGCGCAGCCTGTGTATTTGTGTGTGTGTTCTTGTGTATGTGTGATGCACAACTTGTGCGCAGCCTGTGTGTTTGTGTGTGTTCTTGTGTATGTGCTATGTACAACTTGTGCGCAGCCTGTGTGTTTGTGTGTTCTTGTGTATGTGTGATGCACAACTTGTGCGCAGCCTGTGTGTTTGTGTGTTTGTGTGTATGTGCTGGCTGCGTCTGTCACCTCAAGGTCCCGCGCCATCTCCCTTCTCATGCCAGCTCATTGAAGGCGACATCACACCGCGCCTGGGCCTTCGTGCATGTCTAATGTGATTCTCTGATGATCGTTATTAGCCCCCGACGGAATGAGAGTACCACACATCAACGAGCCATCAGACCATGCAGACGAGCCTCAGAATTGCCTCTAGAACTCAACCTACCCATGGCATTACATTTATTGCTCAAAATATTCGCTTTGTGTGCCGCTATTGGGTTTTTTGTTTGTTACTCAGTTGCAGAGTACCGGTTGCACGGCTCGTAAAACGCCAAGTGGCCAGCAACAAACAGCACTGTTAAGAAATGTAATGGATAAGTGCTTACACTTTTTGGTTTGCACAAGCTCATACGAGTTTGGCAAAAAACAGACAATGGAAAGAATGTTCCAAAGTCGATAAGGGCGAGGAAAGAAGCAGAAAGAGAAGTGTTGTGACCAGCAGGATGGTGAGTGAGTTAAGAGGTGAGTGAGGGAGTTGTTGTGACCTGGAGTGTGGTGAGTGAGTTAAGAGGTGAGTGAGTGAGTGAGTTGTTGTGACCAGCAGGATGGTGAGTAAGTTAAGAGGTGAGTGAGTTGTTGTTGCGACCTGGAGTGTGGTGAGTGAGTTAAGAGGTGAGTGAGTGAGTGAGTTGTTGTTGTGACCAGCAGGATGGTGAGTGAGTTAAGAGGTGAGTGAGTTGTTGTTGTGACCAGCAGGATGGTGAGTGAGTTAAGAGGTGAGTGAGTGAGTTGTTGTTGTGACCAGCAGGATGGTGAGTTAAGAGGTGAGTGAGTGAGTTGTTGTTGTGACCTGCAGGATGGTGAGTGAGATAAGAGGTGAGTGGGTGAGGGAGTTGTTGTGACCTGGAGTGTGGTGAGTGAGTTAAGAGGTGAGTGAGTTGTTGTTGTGACCTACAGAGTGGTGAGTGAGTTGTTGTTGTGACCTGGAGTGTGGTGAGTGAGTTAAGAGGTGAGTGAGTTGTTGTTGTGACCTCAAGTGTGGTGAGTGAGTTCAGAGGTGAGTGAGTTGTTGTTGTGACCAGCAGGATGGTGAGTGAGTTAAGAGGTGAGTGAGTTGTTGTTGTGACCTGCAGTGAGGTGAGTGAGTTAAGAGGTGAGTGAGTGAGTGAGTTGTTGTGACCTGCAGTGTGTTGAGTGAGTTGAGAGGTGAGTGAGTTGTTGTTGTGACCTGCAGTGAGGTGAATGAGTTAAGAGGTGAGTGAGTGAGTGAGTTGTTGTGACCTGCAGAGTGGTGAGTGAGTTAAGAGGTGAGTGAGTGAGTTGTGGTGACCTGCAGGATGGTGAGTGAGTTAAGAGGTGAGTGAGTTGTTGTTGTGACCTCAAGTGTGGTGAGTGAGTTCAGAGGTGAGTGAGTTGTTGTTGTGACCAGCAGGATGGTGAGTGAGTTAAGAGGTGAGTGAGTTGTTGTTGTGACCTGCAGTGAGATGAGTGAGTTAAGAGGTGAGTGAGTTGTTGTTGTGACCTGCAGTGTGGTGAGTGAGTTAAGAGGTGAGTGAGTGAGTGAGTTGTTGTGACCTGCAGTGTGGTGAGTGAGTTGAGAAGTGAGTGAGTTGTTGTTGTGACCTGCAGTGAGGTGAATGAGTTAAGAGGTGAGTGAGTGAGTTGTTGTTGTTGTGACCAGCAGGGTGGTGAGTGAGTTAAGAGGTGAGTGAGTTGTTGTTGTGACCTGCAGTGAGATGAGTGAGTTAAGAGGTGAGTGAGTTGTTGTTGTGACCTGCAGTGTGGTGAGTGAGTTCAGAGGTGAGTGAGTGAGTTGTTGTTGTGACCAGCAGGGTGGTGAGTGAGTTAAGAGGTGAGTGAGTTGTTGTTGTGACCTGCAAAGAGGTGAGTGAGTTGAGAGGTGAGTGAGTTGTTGTTGTGATCTGCAGTGAGGTGAGTGAGTTAAGAGGTGAGTGAGTGAGTTGTTGTTGTTGTGACCAGCAGGGTGCTGAGTGAGTTGAGAGGTGAGTGAGCTGTTGTTGTGACCTGCAGTGAGGTGAGTGAGTTGAGAGGTGAGTGAGTTGTTGTTGTGACCTGCAAAGAGGTGAGTGAGTTGTTGTTGTGACCTGCAGTGTGGTGAGTGAGTTGAGAGGTGAGTGAGTTGTTGTTGTGACCTCCAGGGTGGTGAGTGGGTTAAGAGGTGAGTGAGTGAGTTGTTGTTGTGACCTGCAGTGTGGTGAGTGAGTTGAGAGGTGAGTGAGTGAGTTGTTGTGACCAGCAGGATGGTGAGTGAGTTAAGAGGTGAGTGAGTGAGTTGTTGTTGTGACCTGCAGTGTGGTGAGTGAGTTGAGAGGTGAGTGAGTTGTTGTTGTGACCTGCAGGATGGTGAGTGAGTTGAGAGGTGAGTGAGTGAGTTGTTGTTGTCACCTGCAGTGTGGTGAGTGAGTTCAGAGGTGAGTGAGTGAGTGAGTTAAGAGGTGAGTGAGTTAAGAGGTGAGTGAGTGAGTTGTTGTTGTCACCTGCAGTGTGGTGAGTAAGTTAAGAGGTGAGTGAGTGAGTTGTTGTTGTTGTGACCAGCAGGGTGGTGAGTGAGTTAAGAGGTGAGTGAGTGAGTTGTTGTTGTGACCTGCAGTGTGGTGAGTGAGTTGAGAGGTGAGTGAGTGAGTTGTTGTGACTTGCAGTGTGGTGAGTGAGTTGAGAGGTGAGTGAGTGAGTTGTTGTGACTTGCAGTGTGGTGAGTAAGTTAAGAGGTGAGTGAGTTGTTGTTGTGACCAGCAGGGTGGTGAGTGAGTTAAGAGGTGAGTGAGTGAGTGAGTTGTTGTGACCTGCAGTGTGGTGAGTGAGTTAAGAGGTGAGTGAGTTGTTGTTGTGACCTGCAGTGTGGTGAGTGAGTTGAGAGGTGAGTGAGTGAGTTGTTGTTGTGACCTGCAGTGTGGTGAGTGAGTTGAGAGGTGAGTGAGTTGTTGTTGTGACCAGCAGGGTGGTGAGTGAGTTAAGAGGTGAGTGAGTTGTTGTTGTGACCTGCAGTGTGGTGAGTGAGTTGAGAGGTGAGTGAGTGAGTTGTTGTTGTGACCTCAAGTGTGGTGAGTGAGTTGAGAGGTGAGTGAGTGAGTTGTTGTTGTGACCTGCAGTGTGGTGAGTGAGTTGAGAGGTGAGTGAGTTGTTGTTGTGACCTGCAGTGTGGTGAGTGAGTTGAGAGGTGAGTGAGTTGTTGTTGTGACCTGCAGTGTGGTGAGTGAGTTGAGAGGTGAGTGAGTTGTTGTTGTGACCTGCAGTGTGGTGAGTGAGTTGAGAGGTGAGTGAGTGAGTGAGTTGTTGTTGTGACCAGCAGGGTGGTGAGTCAGTTGAGAGGTGAGTGAGTGAGTGAGTTGTTGTTGTGACCTGCAGTGTGGTGAATGAGTTAAGAGGTGAGTGAGTGAGTTGTTGTTGTTGTGACCTGCAGTGTGGTGAGTGAGTTGAGAGGTGAGTGAGTTGTTGTTGTGACTTGCAGTGCGATGGTTGAACATTGTGGATGAAACAAAACAGTGAGTTTAGTAGACCGAGACTCCAACATGGGTGAAGGAACGAGTGAAGTTCACAGGAACAATTGTAGTAGCGATAGAAGAGTGATGAGGAGTCGACTGACCACCGGTGAGCGACTGACCTGTGTGAATCAATGAGTGCTGTATCACCAATCAACCTGCTTTACATTGAACGTTCTCAGTGGGTGCTGTATCACCAATCAACCTGCTTTACATTGACTGTTCTCAGTGGGTGCTGTATCACCAATCAACCTGCTTTACAATGAATGTTCTCAGTGGGTGCTGTATCACCAATCAACCTG